CGTCACTCCACATGGGGGGGGCGAGGCGCCTCCTCCCCCCTCCTCGGCGTCAACTCACAACCCTCACTACAAAGGCAGAACCCTGACGTCACGTGATCTCCGTAACGCTATTGAGACATCAAAGTAAAAAGGACGTCATGATGAACAAGGGATTATAACTCTTGGTTCTTTCGGTAAAGTCACGTAGAAGGGAAGTAATAAAATAATAAAAATAAAACATAATAAAATAAGTCTCACGACGTTTCGGCCACAACGCAAGCAGCCGTCCTCAGGTGAAGAACATTTCTGTCGATAAGACAAGAGTCTAAAAATGAAACGTCGTGAGAATTATTTTATTATGTTTTATTTTTTTTATTTTATTACTTCCCTTCTACGTGACTTTACCGAAAGAACCAAGAAGATGAATCCCTGCAGTCACGAAAGCTTCAAATCGAAATTTAAGGGACTATAACCTTTACATGAAATAGGTCTGTGTCACCGCGCCCTTACAAATTGCACACGCATCGATGCAACGAATGTCACGTCGCGGTCTGCGTTTCGCTTGCAAGTTTCAGATTTACCGCAATACACCCGGTCCTTGGACGGGCAAAAGGGGCTACTTAGTAATAATTTCCTTACGTTGATGGTGGTGGGGTTTTGTTTTTACGTCTGCAAATATTCATGCACGAGTTATGAAACTATCCAAAAAAACACACACACACACACACACGAGACGTATTACACAAACACGTACAAAAGAATGAGAGCCAAACCTATGCCACATCTGTATGACAAGCTCATGCTGGAATCTCTGGGAGCTGGTTATTAATGGCTATCTGGGTCTACGCGGGAAGGAAGCCGTAATCACACACTGCACCCCAGCGGCTTGCAAGCCTTTTAATTGCCCAGCTAAATATAAGTGGGGGCGGTGGTGGTGGGGGGGGGAAGAGAGAAAAAAAAACATCCGCTTGGACATCTCGCACGGTTGTAACGGAGAGCGCTGCCATACAGTTCTACGACACGGGAAGCGTGTCCTGAGATCTTGATGTGTAACTTGCATGATAAATAGAGTAATGAAAACAATTCCTGGTGAAAATATCGCACGTGTACAGCAACCCCCCCCCCCCCCCCCCCCCATTTTTTTGTTTGTTAATCGAATGGTGGATGAGAGCCTCCTCAAACTCCCGATTGTCGCGGTTGGCTACGTACGGTGCAAAAGAAGTTCAACATAATATACTGCGTGGGTCGTGGGGGTTATATGTGACCACACTTCACCCACGCAGGTCAGTGCGGGTTGAAGGTGGGGAGCACAGATATGGAAGCATAGTACAGCACAACAATTGATTGTTCTTCAATGCCCTCTGCTCCCCCACATAGCTCCTGAGCAGCCTATAATGACCTCAGTGGCATGGTGGTCTCCCATCCAAGGCTCAAACCTGCTTAGCTTGCGAGATCTGAAAAAAAAGATTGGGTGCATTCCAGGTACTTTGGTCATAGGTGGTGAAAATAATGGTTTTGAAAGCTTCCTTCCTGTTTATATGTAACGGATTACTCATGCAGTTAATCTGTGTAATCTCGTTCTCAACAATGCATTCCTTTGGTATACAAACTGCCGAAAAAAGTTCATCAGATTGAAAAATTAAACAAGCGCGCTGCATTGAGCATTCAATACGAATTGTATGTGGTACGAAGTGAAGTCGACGACATTTAAAACTACATGACTACGTGTGCGTATGCAAGCTAAATTATTAGTTTGTAAAAAAAAAAGTATGCGCGCATATGTCAGTTTCCAGAAGAAGTAAAGCAGTGCCGAGTTTGTGTGGTGGGTGGGCGATGGATTGGGTGGTGTGGGTGGAACGGAAGTAGCCAAATATAGGTAGGTGTAACACATTGGACTTTACCACATCCGGTAATATATCAGCAGATGCTGAACCTTAGCCAGATGCAGTGCGCCACGCACAATGGCATAGGCAAATTCAACCTCCACACATGTCAAATACAACTGCCCATCGGGCTAAGGTGAAATTGCGAACTTGTTAAAGTTCCAGCCAACCGTTACTCACAAATATTAAACAACCGGTTGGGACGTGATTGTTCAAATGATGTCGACAAGTGGAGTAAAGATCAAATAAAATTCCAAGATAAGTTTAAATACTCATAAAAACACACAAGACATAACAGACCGTAAAGCGTGCTTAAACTTTACATGACCAAAGAGCACTGTTAAAAAATAACTTTGTTTAATAAATCCGAAGCTTTCCACATTCGTTTTGAAAAATTACTTTCAAGTAATAATTGCTTAAAATTGTTTTTCGGTCTAAATTTAGAGGGCAAATGGGTTTACAGGAAAAGACATTTGTTATTTCCGCCCTTGTGTTCGCAAAAGGGCAGCCCTCTCTGCAAGTCACCCGAATCACGGCCTCAGGAAAGCCCACGGTGGCATGTGAGCGAGACCTCTCGGCTCGACTAAAAAAAAACAATAGCTGCTACAACCTTGGCACACGCCCTCCGAGAGCATGCAACGTTTTCAAACTACGGTTAAGTTACCGAATGCTTTACGTATGCAGATTATATTACAACCGATACAACTCGAATATGTAAATTATCGCATTCGGGGACTCATTTTAGAAAATAAGCAACAACCCAATTTTGAAAAGTCACATGTATATAGGTTTTACAGAGTTTTCTTAAAATGTTGCTCTATTGAATCCGTAGTTTTTTGCCTTTTTCCATTCAGTGTTTTTTTGTTAAAAAAAAGGCGTAAGCACCAAGATTGATTTGATTTACAAAACGGATTACGAATCTATCGGAAACGCAAGAGAATTACAGCAGGAACACCGAGCACGCTATGAGGCTTGCCAAATAATGATAGAATTGGCCATCTTTAATATTTATTTATATAATCTGCACGTTTATAAATCACACTTTAAAGAAATGCTATACGCCTTCTGCAGTTTATCTACCCACCTCTTCGTCGTGGTCTGTGAATTTATAAGCTCGGAACCATCTTACACCCCCATAAACTACTCAATATACAGAAAACAATTACCACGTTGCATTTCCGATATAATGTATCAGTATTCTTACTTGCATTAACTCAGGCCAAAATCATTCGTTATAAACACCATCAAAGAGGGGTTATACAATGCCGATTTCCAGCGGGGATTGTGGGTGACTCAAGGTTCCTGACACCAAGTGAACTGAGGTGAACTTGTTTTATTTGTGGAAGTTATTTGCATGTCCACAATCAAACAACTGTGAGAAATTGTATCCATTAAGCCTTAAAACCACTTGTCAAGCAGACAAGTTGATAAGGGTTACAGTGAAAAAATAATAAATTTCGAGTTGGCTTGCCAATTTTCCATTACAAACGCTAAGAAAGACTCATCGTCTGTCACTCGAACAAGTACCACAAGCCAGTGAGTGGGGCAGCAGGGATTTCTCTTCAAGCTACATCTACTCATCTAGTATAAGACTGACCCCTAGTGGAAACACAGCGTGCACTCGGTCAATAGCTCCCAGGCATTCAGCATATTTGACCAATATTTCTCTTCCAAGATCGCAATCGATGCTGTTCAATGGAAATAATTTAAAATTGCACAAACACGTATTGCAGCCATGCCAAATTGCATCACCTGACCATGATACCACATTTTCAATGCTCATTTAAAACTCTTCATGGTGCTTTGGCTGTGGCTACATTTACTCAATTTTACACTCCTAAAATGAAAATGTACAGCAATGGCTGAGGCCAAAATTACAAAAGGAGTTGTTTTCCAATTAAATCTTTCTGCAATGTCTCAAAACATCAATGTTTAAATCCCAAGTGATCGAGACAGCATCACTCATGAACACAAAAGCCAAAACCCCTAGGTGCCCTCCTGTTTACCTTCTCCATCTACTTGGAAGGGGTCATCAAATACTGTATACACACCTCTGTGAAATTCTGCACACAATCCTAGTGATCAACAGAAAATGTCAACCTTAACAACTTTAGAACTAATTAGTGTTCCACTTCGATGACCCATCAATGAAACTAAACTTTACAAAATTAGGCAACTTTAAACGACAGGCATAAAGTGTAAAACATCAACACACCCAACATCAACATACATGGTATATGTGGATATTTATATTGGAAAAGGTCATGAGAACCACTATTTCATGGTATATACAATTATCTAAAAATGGCAATGTAATAAACAATTTCAAGAGTGTTTTTCATGTTGTTATGGCCATTTAACAGTGCTGCCCACTAGCAAACCAGCACTGTACTCAGACCTCTCCATGTATATTGGACTTCTTTCGCACCGTACGTAGCCAACCGTGCTAAGGTCAACCTATCCATGCCGTATCAATCTTGCGGGTTTGTTGACAAAACTTCACCATGCTGTGCTGGTCAGCAGGGGGATTCAGATGTAATTCGTCACTAATGCGAGCCACTTCTGAGCACTCAACGCATGCTGTTGGGTCCATAGCGCAGCGTAGAACCACTGTGCACAGCTGTACCTTATGTCTATTTCACTGCCAAAAATGTAAGGATATTTAGGGACTGTCATTTCTTCTTTAACTGTTCTTGTCAAACCTAATTTTGAGGCAGGATGCATTCAGGATGCATTCCCAGTCATATACAAAAAACATTGACCCGCATTGTTAACTATACTAAAATGTGTTTCATTTAACCAGCAGAATATTAAAATGACTCATTCATCCACTCCAATGTTTTAAAGCTAAATAAAACTATATTTTCTTGACTTAAAGCTTTCGTGACTTCAGGAATTCATATTCTGTGGGTCTTTCGGTAAAGTCACATAGATAGGTTCAAATTAATAAAAAATAAAATAAACTACAACGCTTCGATCACAACACAAGCGATTGTCCTGATGACGATCGCTTGTGTTGTGATCGAAACGTCGTAGTTTTTATTTATTTTATTTTTTATTAATTAGAACCTATCTTCGTGACTTTACCAAAAGATCCAAAGAATATAACTATATTTACATAAAAAAACACGCACAATGTTCAGCAATTCACCACTTTATAAAGTGAACGTTTAAAATTATACATCGTGTAGACTTGCAAATTAAAACAATTAAATGTCAAAAATTCCTTCAATCACAGCATAATGTACATGAGGAAAATGTGAGAGCTAAGTAACTTCTAAATCGCAAAACAGGAAAGAAATGTCAATGCTAAGACGGCAAAATATATCCACTGTATTGGCACAACGTCTTTGGTTTTTATAAACAGCACTTTAAAACCACCAGTTAAATAGTATATATTGGCAATATAAAGAAAAACGTATCATGCAAAAAAACATATTAGCTACAAATGCAGTACATACAGTGTGATGTGTGTAGTCTTTCAAATAAAATGGTACAACAAGACATAAGAGCAGCAATTATTACAGCTGAGTGAGTACATGAGCAAAGACAGTCATTACAGACAATAAACTAAACACTACTGTTTGCATTGCTTGTTGCACTGTACCATGAAATCAACAGCCTGCACCAGGGACACAGAAAAGTTAATTTCTACGTCTGAATTTGGCTCCTGGTCAGGGCCAACATGGGGCTTACCACACACACAGTGCCTTCATAAAAGCGCGTAACATGTGCTTGTTTTCCAATTACACTCACTGGGTTCCACACGATGTACGTTGAACTTCTTTCGCACCGTACGAAGCCAACCGTGCTAATCGGAGGTGCGTGGAAGCACAACAGACTGAAGGCGGAAAAAATGATGGGAACGGATTGGGTAGCCCTGATCCTTTCTGAACACTACTCTACAGTAGTATTTCACCATCTCTATTCACTATGCCCCTGATGTTTTATTAAACTTGGGATTTGAAATGTAATGAGTGCACGCTTGTCTACATGTGTGTGCGAATGGCATTACCCATTGGTAGCGTAATCTCCATGATTAGATTTTGACAAATTGTGGCCGAACACAAATGATCATTCCCATTGCATCATTTGCACGCAAGTGCTATGCTAAAGTTCTCTCCAACGAGCCAAATGTGACATGTTGGGTTCTGCAGAGTGCACTCGTCAAAGTGCATCAAGACAATCAAGAAGAAATACAAGCAGATACTACAGAATATTCAATTACCACTTGTATAAATGCCTGATGGGAACACTCTGGACAACCTATATTAAGGCACATTTGGCTTAAAAGGTACACTGACATTAAATCCCTGGAATGGCATGATTTGTCCACTCCATTTATACAGTACTTTTAATTAACCCTTTCAGAGACACAGCTGTGCGATTTGTTACAGGACTAATCAGTAGTAAATAAAAATTACAAAATAAACATTAACATAAAAAAGGCGGAGCTGAACATTATGTTCATTAATCAAAGAAGTGAGGCTATTTTTTTCTTGATCCTTTTAACTTCTCACCAATTTGTTCATTTCACACGATATTTCCCGACTGCTTGCATTGCTGAAACAAACCACTTCCACTTAAGTGCAATTCTCTATTGAACATCGTTTTCAGTAAAACCTCTGAGATGATGAGGATTCCTTTTTCTCAGTTGCTGCTCTTCGTCCTGGAGAGAAACAACAGAACACACACGTTGAATGTAAGTTCCTGTTGAAGTACTCATCTCTCGAATGGTCAAATGCTTTCAAATTTTACAGCAGGAACTATATCATGCATCCCCTCTCTGAAATGGGAACACTTAAAACCCAGTTCTTGGGACCGTCACCAATTCAAGCATCTGATACCAACTGTCAGCGTATACCAATTACAGGTAGTCCCGACTTACGATGGTCCGACTTACGATATTTCGATCTTACGATGGCGATAGCGATATGACAAAATTGTTCAATATTTTACATTTCGCGCGGCAGGCAAACGCAGCAGCATGCGAGGTACGACGCTGTACGTTGGGACGCTGCCGGGATGTACTGTACGCATCTCCCGCCTTGTGTGGTGATGCCTCTCACTCTCACCAGCGGTCGACGGAGTTAAGTTGTCTCGGTGTTCAATGTATGTTAACAGTTTTTATAGCAGATAGAATTGTTTCCTGAAAAAACTTTCTATGAAATTGCAGTTCATATAAGTAGGCTAAGAATTTACCTTGTTTTATACTTTAAATTTCACTGTGCAATACAGTATTGTAATTAATAAATAAAAACATACAGTATATAGTTTATACAGTACGGTACTGTAAATTGCTCTGTTTTGCTAAATTATCACCATTCTTTAAGACTCCTGGGTAGGCTAGGCCATCTTCGACTTACGATATTTTCGACTTACGTTGGGGTCGTCGTAACGCATCTCCATCGTAAGTCGGGGACCACCTGTATATATTTCATGTAATTGTAATAAGAGCCTATGTCAGATTCACGTGGTGATCGGCTTGGCCGGTCCCGCTTTACAGCCAATGGGGGGAGAGCCTGGGAGCATGGCCCCAGCGTGATCACGGGATGTCAGCTAGGTGATTGGTTTCGGTGGTCTTGGCCTCAGCCAATGGGAAGACAAGTCGGGGGCATGGTACCGGGAGTTGATGGGGGATCTGGAACATTCGGCGCAGGCTATTGAGGATTGGCTGGAGTGTACCACGTGACCCAGGCATTAAATAAGGGGAGAGAGGAGAGACACGGGGTCAGACACAGAACTAAGAGAGGGAGAGGCCACGCACGAGTGGGGCTCTGGGTGCCACGTGGTGGTGGGTCTCTGGTGACTGTCTGCACACTTCCCGTTGCCTGCCAGCAATGGGGAGTGTTTGTGAACTGCAAAGAAAGTGAAATAAAAGGACCGATTCTACAAGCCGTCTCCAGCGTGTTATTACATAATCATTGATTGGTAAATATGGAAACTGCAGCAGCCGGACAGGCCTTAACTGCAACGATTTCAAAAGGCACCATCAAAGCAACTTGTATTGCACCATATATGAAACAGTTGAATGCGCAATAGAAAGCAATTTTGCTAAATTTCAAAATAAAATTTAGATCAACACAAATGGCAATCGGCACTTCTTTCACCATATCTGAGCTCAGAACGGCTGTCGTACCGTTTCAAACATATCCTCGTGTTCAGCAAGGCAATCGTCAATCTCTGCAGCCAACAGCTGGTCCGCACACTCGTCCTCGTAGTCTGTCTGGTTGTCCGACTCGTCCGCTGTCCAAAAAAAACATTGAAAAAATGAAAAGCATTGGAATAAAACTGTGACCTCACCCCAACGTGACAAATGAGCTGCATCGGTGTCGCCACATACCAACCAATCACACAATATCGCTATTCTAAAGCTTATTTGGCCCACAAAAATATGAATTTATTTAAGTGGTAGTTTTTGAATACTACATATCAATCCATTGAACATCATTACCACAAGCGATTTGTCCCACTTGGGTGAATTTTACTATTTGTCCATACATTGCAATTAGTGTGGATACAACAATCGCAACAAAGACGTGTTGCTCAGTTGTGAAATCCTGCAGCAAGCCACTGGAGTTAAAAAAAAAAACTCAACACACATCACAAACCAACAGATGGGAAAAAAGCATTATCAGCCAACACCTGCTTTACCTAAGGAAGCGTGCAGATACATTTGGCATACCACATTCCAAATCGCCCCTACACCAAGTAACAAGACTGTGTAATACTACCTTGAAGTGGGATAGCCTTATGTTATCAAGTTAAGTTTGGCTGATAGCATGAAAGGCATATTCTTGGATCATATTCTCTCTGGAAGGGACACCCAATAACCAATCCTCCAATCTATCTCAAGAATAAGCAGATCCAGGTGTCAAATATTCTGATTGATGGGTTGGATAACACTTGCCAGCATACTTCAGTATCATGCACGCTGTGATTTTGGCTTCAATGCAGGTTTATTTCTGTATATACTGGCATTGCATACCCACAAGCCTTTGGTTACCAACCTGGTGGTGTTTTGTGCGTACATTTTTTTTACGAAAAAGATAAATATAAAATTCATGTTTTTTCATGTGAAATATAAGTGAGCTTTAAGACACTGGTATTGTTCAAATTAACATTATAGTGCCTTAAAAATAATTACTTCACCTTCACTGAGACATATTTAAATAGAGCGAGTAAGAAACAACACTACATTCAAAACATTCTGAGAAAATGGCAAAACTACGAGCTACGTATTAGAATCCAATTTTGTGCAATTTCAAATCCATTAAATAATTATTGCAAAAAATAGGAGGGGGTAGATTGTGTCAGAAATTAGGCTCCAGTAGTTTCTCATGAAGCCATTTTTCTCCACAAGACTAACCGCCTTCACAAGCACGATGCATGACATCTAAAATAACCACACAAGCTATGAACCAGAGCAATGACTACACTAAGGCACCGCACACAGTTTCACTCAAAAAAACACTGCAAAAGCAAAATGAGCAGGTTAAAGAACGCACGCATGCAAGCCAAGTACTTGAGGTTCAGGCAGAATGACTCAAGCCGATAGCTGTACCATGAAAGGTTGCTTGGAAACTGAGGTAATCCTCATCCAGCCCCTCATCGCCTGCATCATAATCCCGTTCGTCTGAAGACAACACAGCTAAGTTTATCCACCAACTTCGTTGCAACCTTGCATTAGCTATTAAGACATGCTTAATTCTCAACGTGTGCCTAGCAATAAGCACTGTTAAGTCTTCTTGGTTCTTTCGGTAAAGTCATGTAGAAGGGAAGTAATAAAATAATAAAAATAAAACATAATAAAATTATTCTCACGACGTTTTGGCCACAACGCAAGCAGCCGAAACGTCGTGAGAATAATTTTATTATGTTTTATTTTTATTATTTTATTACTTCCCTTCTACGTGACTTTACCGAAAGAACCAAGAAAATGAATCCCTGCAGTCACGAAAGCTTTAAATCGCTGTTAAGTCCTCTGCTATAAAGGCCTTGTGACGGTGTGTGTTCTCTAACGCCGTTTTGCACCTCTGGTGATGAAAACGTAGCGTTTAGTGCCACATTTGCATACGGATAATTCTATTGACACGAGAACTCCTCATTCATTCTATTCTTGCGTACGGCAACGCGTTCAGGAGCTAAACGCCAATGTTGAGGTCTGCTAGCAAAGAGACGGGCTTCAGGAGAAATTGTGTGCAGTTTTGATATGCGTCTGTTGAAGGAGCGCAGACCAGTGGGGGGTTTACTATCTGCTCCACAAGTTGAGTTGCATGGCCGCAATGGCACTGTGGAAATGGTGCTGACGTTCTGATACGGTTGATGATGTTTGGGTCTTGAATGAGGTGTTTTATCGGGAGGCCTTCTTGCGACCCACCTGTTACACGTGGTTTTCACGATTCACACTTAAGAGGCATGCAAGTATAAGTACATGGCAGTATTGAAGCACAATAACCTCACATCGCTTTCCAGAACAAGAAAAAAACACTTGATTAGACTTTTTATAGGGTGATAAGGTTAATCTCTCTTAATAAACATAAGTAACAAAAATCATGAAGTATATTAACTAAAACATTGCAGTAGACACTCAATTTACTTTCCTGTTGTCAATTACCAGTATATACAGCTTAACATTTAGAACTCTACCAGCATATTTGTATATGCCCGAGACGTAATTCTCACCTTCCACGGAGGGCAAGACCTTAACTGGTTCGATTCTTGACACAATTTCAGCGAGATCAGTGAATGAGGCATTTGGACATGTAAGCGCCTGTGAAAATAATACAAGCATATTGTGGATTTTTTTTTAATGTATTTTACAACATAATATTATCATGTTTTTATGAAACAATAAAGCATTATTAATCAAAACACATTAGTGAAACAATGTTGTATTTGAACTTTTACATTTTGCAAATAGTGATTGCTTACTGTGTAAACCAGTTAACCCACAGTCTAAAAGACAATACAAATTTGGTGTGCGGAAAATGTTTGTACATAAAAAGTTTGGAGTTATAGAAGATGGATTTTTCGTCTTCCAGGGCACTCACATCAAGCTTCTTGCTCTTGCAGAAGTCCTCCGACTGTCCGTCTTTCAACAGGTTTTCAATGACGTCACCTCTCTCCCAGGCTTCAAACACCGTCTTGCCGTGCTGGTAGCCCATCTCCTGCAGTGTCGCAGCGCCAGAGACAAACACAGAAACAGGCAGTGAATAAAGAGTGTCACTGAGCCGCACATCTGCGCTACATATCACGTAACATGTTGTTAATTTGGAGAGGTGTTGCAACTTGCACTTTGCTATGTAACCTGCATTGTAATGAATTATAGATGTAGCAAAACCGTTTCTATTCTTATTCTTGGTTCTTTCGGTAAAGTCACATAGAAGGGAAATAATAAAATAATAATAAAACATAATATAAAATTCTCACGACGTTTCGGCCACAACGCAAGCAGCCGTCCTCGCGTTGTGGCCGAAACGTCGTGAGAATTATTTTATTATGTTTTATTTTTATAATTTTATTATTTCCCTTCTACGTGACTTTACCGAAAGAACCAAGAATATGAATCCATGCAGTCACGAAAGCTTTAAATCGAAATTCGTTTATATCCTGTATCCTCATATTATAAGCTAAAACTGTGCGATGTAATCCACCATTGGACAAAGGCTTTCTCCATGCCATGTTGGTCATGGGGGTTGTTTGACCATGCTTCACTACACCGGTTAGTGCGGGTTGGTAAAAGGGAGTGGCCCAGGATTGGTTCAGATGTCGCTTGTTAGCCAAGGCTGAAAATCAAACTCGGGTCTCTGTGTTCCTAGCGCAGTGCATGAACCACTGCACCGCTGCTAAACGAGTAATGGATTATTATTGTTACATCAAGGTGGTGTTTGAAGATCACAGTGAAGGCTCACAGCATATACTTCACAATGCATTGGAAGAAGAAGAAATAATATTAAAGAGAAGCTGATAATCACCAATCACTGTCAAGATATTCATAGCATTAAGTACTTACGTAAATCTCGTCAAACTTTCCAAAGTCCAGGGTCTTGTAGCGATCGATTGGTGGGCGTATGTACTCGCAGTAGTCGCTGTTCTTCACAACCTCCAGTTGCCGCACGCAGCACACGTACGCAAGGCGCGATTGAATCTCTGCCATGTCCGGCACCTACGAATCAACCGCCACAAGGGCATGTCCACGTTAAGTTCTGTTTCAGGTGACAGGTGGCCCCTGTCAGTGGAACGTATAACGGCTCAATGCCCGGTTCACAATTCAGAGGCATCATCACAGCAATACATTTCGCTGCTCCTGACACAATGATCTGGTTCAATCACCTCGATATAAAATTATAGTTGTTGCCCTACACCTACATCAGCTATACAAAGAAGATCGTCAATGCTGAGCTGAGCTGGCACTGCTGAGAATCTGGGTTTCAGACACTTGAGATCAAATTGGGTTATAAAGTGGAGCAAATGGATGGCGTTAAGCCCAGCCACCAAATCACAAAAATTACTTATGCTTCATGTGTGCCTCGAGTTTGAATAAAAATACCAATTAGAATGAATTCAGAAGATGTCCAAAATAATCCTAGCCTGTTCTATGAGACAATGTGCTGGACTGCTTGAAAGTTTCGAATTGTGATTTCTTCACATCAAGATATGCTACTGATAGCAAAAGTTACATTTTGGGAAAAACTTATTTTGAGCGATGTACAGTGATGTTGGAAACATGCCACGAATCGCATTATAACCAAAATCATCAGCACTTTGGTTTGGTGAGCCAATCGTGATGGCCTGGTCTAAGTGTGTCGAGGGTGATGCGTGGGGCCATGATTCGTGCACAAGCACGATGTCAAGATTGTGGCCCACCGAGGGGCTAATCATGTGGCCCACTAACTCGTCTAGGTTGACCATGTCGCACCTCCGATTAGCACGGTTGGCTACGCGAGGTGCGAAAGAAGTTCAACAGACATACGTACACACGTGGCTCACATCAAAGTGAAAATGTATCTCCAAATACAAACTCTGCATGCCTTTAAGTCTTTGGGCAGACGAAATCCAGAATAACAGCAGCTCATGACATCAGCCATGCCCTTGTAACATGCCAAAACCTTACGAAAAACATCCCCTCACCTTGACCTTCTCAGCCCAGGGGTTGAATCTCTTCCAGAGCAACCACCAGCCTGACAGGCAGTCCCCGTAGTTTGTGAGGTCTGTGTCATCTCTGCTGCCCACATCAATGGCTATGACAGTCTTGGCCCCCATTGACCGGGCCACGTCAGCTGTGGGGCAAATATGTACGATGAACACAGAGCACTCCCCAAGTCCCAACACGAGGAAGAATCGCTTTCTGGAAAAAAATAAATGCAAAAACAGGAAGACCTCCCAGAGACAAGACTCGAGTAACGCAGAATTCAGAATCAGCTGGAAAGGCTACCTAAAATACTTTTTTAAAAAAATGAGAAAATAAACTAATACACTCCAATCAGGACACTATTTCTGCACTAATTAAGCTGTGGTCAGGTTACAGAATGCAACTCTATGCCAATGTGTGCCTGGCAATACTTTGAAATGTAAATATGCTAATCGCAATACTTTGCAGTGAATACAATTGTATGCATGTGAACGACCATTTATTAAACTATATTCCTATGTATGGTATGAAATTCAGCGAGCAAGTCACCCACGTGCCCTGTGAAGTGAACTGATTTATAAAATATATATTTTATAAAGCCTTGTATAAAGGTGCAGTTTTTGCACCAGTTGAAAGGGTAAAAACCTATTACTTGATTTATAAAATGTATTTACATTAATTTTGAAACAAAATTATTTCTTCACGTCTGTTAGAAACTCTCTTTAGTATTCCAACAATCAGCATTTCACCTCTGCTTCATGGTGATGGCAAGTGACTCAGATTAAGTCTATCATAGCGATTGCTTTAAAAGTGTTATTGTGCTGATTAAATCTGTTAGGCATTAATTACGTGTGAATAAGTCATTTACATTTAGTTATGTATTTAGTTTTTTGCAGTATAACGGACATCCCCCAAATTTCCCAAAAAAATTTAAGGACCCTTTCACGTACTTATCTATATATGTATGTTAACTATCCACTGCTAGAAGGCCTCCAACACGCCAATGCGAAGCTACAATCCATCTCGCTTGAGCACATATCTTTAACTCCATCCCTGCAGTGATCGTCCTGTTTGGTGCGTTATCTCCATTGACTGCCAATCAATCACCAGTCTTGGCTATTGGCCATTATCCCTTCAAGCAACGAGTTCTACCCAAGGCGGCTTACTTTCCTTTACGGTTAAATAAGTCTCTAATTTGTGTTTGTTCTCTGATCATGTTTTGCAACGTAAACTGATCATAGCAACAGCCTCATGCCCCTACATCGTCATCCATGATCAATCCACAGCTGAATGAAAGTCTTCAAGTAGTCGCCATCCCTCACAGGCCTGCGAAATAGCAATCCTTCTGGCATCTGCACAAAACTTTATTTTATTTGCTCCGTCTCTGCGCTGGACGTATATTCGGGCAAAAGTGACCTCCTTTGGCAACCATTGCTACTCCTGTTAGTCTTGACTGTCGACTATTATTACTTCTAGAAATATGACCTGCCCAAGCAGGATAGAATAAATTGAACTTTTCTATAAAAACAATCTATCAATAATAGTATTTGATATCTATTATTTTTTATATCATCTGATTGCTATAATGTATGTGACCGATGATAGAAAATCTCAAAATACTAACAAAAAGCATAACATGCATTTATCCCATCCAGCAATGGAGCTTTCAAAACCCAGTCAACCATCACTCAGTGGGACGTCACTCGTTCTCCTCTGCTGCCCCTGTATGTCTGAAAATCCTTACCCTCAAGTCATCCGTGTTGTCACCTCCAAATCGCTGTTGAAGTCCAGCCTCAAGACCTTCCTCTGTTCTCTGCCTATGATTGTCTGCTTCTATAACATCAGCATACCCAATGTTCTTCCCACAATAAATGTACTGGCCAGCATTACTACACAGTGCATGGGTGGTTTGACGAAGATATATTTCTCAGAGAGCCAGACAGTGACGCAATTTAGATGGCGCAGTGTTCACGCGCAAGGACACAAGTTCTTACGTTCATTCCTTCTGACTGGTCACTCCTTTTGTGCCTCCGCAGGTTACCAAAAAAGGGGCAGAGTTGCGATGGGCAACCGAGAAGTGACACGTTGTTCGTTCATCCTCCGTTACAAATGGCAACCTTGTTACCTGGCAAGTTGTTGATGTAGCCTCCATCCATGAGTAAATGGCCATCCTTGGGGTCACAGAGAGGAGGGAGGTACCCTGACAGAGACATGCTAGCTCGCGTGTATCGCCACAGTGAGCCTACGGGGGAAAACACCCAACCAGGAAGAGGAAGAGAAGCAGAGCGCTTCCTATATCATCGAGACGAACGTGGGCATCACTGCAGGAAAGTCTACACAGAGTGTGGACTGAAGCAGCAATAAGGATCATATGCACGGAAATGTCGTCGTTATATTTTATTGTCGATGACCTGCTTTTAGTTTGTTAATGCTGTATATATTTTCAATCATTTATAAGTAATTTTGTTCCGATGCTGCTATTTTTACGTCCTCGTTCAGTGTAGACTTGACTGCATGATGCAAGTTTAGGCATCTTCTCCATCTCCTGTTATCGAATGAAAGCTTTATCCTAAAGAAGAACCATTATTATCTGGTGTTCTTCAAACATCGGTGGAATTCCTCATGCATAAACCAGTTGCTTAGAGCCATATTTTAGGAGACCAAAATATATATTTTGGCCGGGATTTTTGCGCGAACATCTGAATTGCGCTTATGCAGATTCTCATCTGCAGAATACAATATTTTTAGAGGCATCTCATTTTGGCAGCACGAGAGAAACTATGACTGCAATCAAATCGGCCGCAGCTACATGCAACACGAAGCACGTGGGGATAAAGCTTTCTTCGGACACAGGCGAGAGAGAATGGCCACAACATCAGACGGAGTGACAAGCTGACCTGGGACATTGTTAACATAGCAGCCATCCACAAGTAAGTGTCCATCCCTAGGGTGACAGAGCGGGGGCACATAAGGGGCGTAAGAGGAGCTAGCCCGGACGAAGCGCCACACGCTGCCTGGGTGGGGGGGAGGGGAGCGCGGATCAGCGCGAGACAGAGAGGCAAAAAAAAAGGCAAGGCATTAAAAGGACACGATTTTTCTACGCGGCAATCGCGCAGTGTGCTTCAATCACACGTTGTGCTTCAAACGCACAGGTTTTTCTTTAGTCTGCGAGAAATGAGTGCTTAATGAGGCGAGTAAATGTGACTTTGGTAGAATGTTTGACGGACTTGATGAAAAATAATTGTCGGATCGAAAAAATATAACGGAAATAGTTTGGGGCACCGGAAGTGATGTCGCATGTTATGATGAAACAAAAAAGTGAACTTAGGATCTCGATAAAGTAGAGGGGGGGGATAAATCACATAATTATATCACGCAATCATACGAAAGTAAAGAAAATGTAGCTCTAATACACAAAATTTGATTTCAATAAATTGTAAAAGCAAAAGTCCAAATCACAGTGTAACAATAGGACATGAATCTGCTTTTTTTAGTTAATCATGTTAAAATATTGATATCAGGTCAAAGGGCCAGTGTCTGTTTGTTTTAAGAGCAGAACAGAGGTAGTTGAAAAACTCATTGGCACTGTCCCTGTCTCCATGGACAATAATCACGACGTTTCGTTCGTTTTGATTATCGTTGATAAAAGGCTTTTTTTGGGTTAGATGAGGTAACTATAAGTGTTAACCCACCACCACGAGACGCAGCCAAATCGTAAGGTTTGTCATGTAAACAAAATGTCCCAATTAGTTACTACTCCAGCACACCGATGTGCTGGAGAGAAAATCAACATTTACAGTTACTCCAATACACAAAAAACAAGATCTAACCCAAAAAACCTGTATTATGAATAATATTGGTCATGAAAGCCTACGTGTTAAAATTTGATAATTGTTGCATATAATTTCAAGTTATTGTTTCATAGAAATGTAACTCAAGGAAGATATTAAATTGTCCATGGAAACTTGGGATTCATCAGTAAAAATCAATCCCCTTAGAACAATTCAAAGATCACACGAGGTTAGATACATAGAACTTCTGATTTTTTGTTGTATTAATAGGCTAGAAGTGTTAGAAATGCCACAACAATCAAGCAATTTAAGCACCTCCTGCTACATTTTAAAATTTGGAACGGCTTGTATAATAGATTCCAAATTAGATACAGATTGTAATACTGTAGTATTATGGATGTACTAAGTGAACTATGTCCCAGGTGACAGCACTTAACGTACATCTAAACATTTCAATAACAGTCATGATTGCATGTTAAGGACAAAAAATATTACTTCATGTCTAGATCAGCCACAGGAAAAACTGTGATAAATCACTCAAATAATAATACATATACTCTCTGGTTCCTTCGGTAAAGTCACGGAGATAGAAAAAATAATACAGGGATGACGGATGCTTGTGTTGCGACTGAAACGTCGTGTTTCTCATATTATTTTTTCTATGTACGTGACTTTACCGAAAGAACCAGAGAATATGGATTCCTGCAGTCACGAAAGCTTCAAATCAAGACTAATATTATATAATATGATATACATTGCAATTCAATGGCGCAAATGTAAAATTTTATAACATTATAATCAATTATACATAGGTTAGAGGCTTGTGTCATAACATGATTAAACTACTCTGAGTTTGAAAATACACAAAGGATAATCCTCGATATCAGTGTAAATGTATACATAAGAAAAGTTGAAATATATATTTTAAGCCTCACTTAAAATGTCTTCAAATGTTTCACCTAAATGTTTTACCTAATTCAACCAAATACACAAATAATAATACTCTATATCAGTGTAAATGTATACATAAGAAGAGTTTACATATTTTAAGCCTCACTTAAAGTGTCTTCAAATGTTTCATCTAATGCAGCCAAATCTCAAAATGTTACCGTGCAGCACTTCGTGATATATGTTATTTAAAATGCATTGCGTTAAAAACATCGTTTAATAAGTATAATTTTGAACATTAGTGCAACCATTCACTATTTCTCACAAGTAACTTATCTATTAAAAACACTGCAGAATCAGAAAATGTGTTTATACTAGAGGAATACAATGAGCAATAAAGCTCTATTTCACAAATGTCCAGTCGAGGCAGGTAATAAGGTTACAACAACAAACAGTACAAAAACATTTCATGGCTATATGATGCACCGAACAGAAAATGTATATTTTTATATCTACGTTCTTTGTATAATTAATGAATATATACTAAATTATAAGATGGTTAGTATTGTTTTGTGCGTGACCAGCATATTTAGTCGCTGTCACCGATGTTTCTCGTAAATGAAAGCCGACGGATGGCTTCGAAAACATATAGGACATGGCTATCCAAATGACAAGCGGCAACACATGCATCTTGCAGTTTGGTGTATGATGTTGGGTGACGGCGAGGTTGTAACTCGGCACGCCCATTAACACCGCATGGGACGGTATGGCTATCCGTTGGCAAATGGTTGGAGAGCGCTGCCAAGGGGGTGTACATTTCATGACATGTGGAATTCAACAAGGAGTCACCAACCCACTGACGCGGTAACAGTTGACAGCGAATAGGGCAAACTGAGCAGTCCGTGCTCAATGCATTCACACGGACTGCAAATAATTAGAAAAATGGTTCACAATGTAAACGTGACCATAATTTAGAAATATATAGAATGCACAATGTATACATCAGTGTTAAATCCCTATGCTCTGTATACTTGGCCCTGTGTTAATGTGACATAACCACATTGCATTAGCTTTGCGATCAGCATAGACAATGTAGCTTTTTGACTGTGCTACTCGGTGCATACAAATTCGGCCTTTGTAGTCACAGTGCATGAGCGGGGCACAGGAAAAATAAAATCCGATGCTTCTCCATGGTGGATTCTACCCCTTCACAAGTCGAATTCCATTCCTGCAATGCTTTTCTTACAGACGTAAACATGAAAGCAACTGACCTGGAAATGCAAAACTTTAACACCCCAAATGAGTTTGTTAATAATTAGTAAACAATAACTTAAAAAACAAATGAATGCTAATTTTAAGGAGAGGAGTTAACTATTTCCATTTACCTTTAAAAGGTTGAAGTTTTAAATAAAGAACATATGATAATTTAGGTGACAAAAAATTAGAACCTACCGTCGGTATGCACCCTCATGGTAGAGGCAGTAATGTCAGTTGTAACATTAAAGTAGGGAATCCAAAGGTCCTGTCATAAAATGAGGAAATGTTATCAGAATTTACAAGCACAATCCAATACAGTGAAATGTTTGTTTTGATGACACGCATTACGATTGTATAACCACGAAAGCACACTTTAATCGCGTTTATTTAACACTAACTTTCACAAAAGTTTCCATTACATTGGTTAAACGCTTACATGTTTGCTTTAAGTTACACTCACCTCGATCTGCTTGTCCTTGAACACATTTCTAATGCTTTGGTTGAAAGCATGTCCTGACATCATGGAGGTGATCGGGTAAGTAAGATCCAGCACTTTTCTGAACACCGACTTCATTTCCTACATTACGCATTCGGAGAAAAGAATACAGGAACTAAGGAGAGAGTGAAATAAAACCCACATGTGCACTACTGTAATACATTTCACCGCGTAAAAATAAAATAAAATTTGGTCCTGCAGCTTAATTACTTGTTGTACCAATGCTTTCCAGCAGTATGTGTTCACAAGTTAGAAATAAGAACAATGCCTATTTTTTACCAGACTTTTTTTTCAGGAGGTTCCTGCATTTGGATGTTTGACCAATAACATTAATGAGCTTTCTGGCTTTTGAAGGAAACAGGAAAAACTCAACACTGCCATCTCCTGGTCCCTGGTGGTTACCCATCCAAGTACTAAACCAGGCTCAGCTTTGCCGAGTTTCTGAGATCTGACCAGACCGAGTGCATTTAACACGTTCCTTCGGAGTGGGCAGGTAGGAACTTGGTTGGACAGCGCATTCGTGCACGACAGACAGACAAATAATCCCTGGTGGGGAGTGTGGAACCTCTTGTTCCTCTACCTGTGTACAAGATAACTTGACTTGAGGTAGCCAGGCAGACAGCCAGGTAGCCAGCCCCCTTAACTATCGGCCCCTCCCCCTTGCTTAGGCACCTCCCCTTACCCCCCCTCACTTAGGCCCCTCCCCCCTTAGGCCCCTCCCCTGACCACCCCCCATATCCTCAGGCCCCTCCCCTGACCCCCCTTCCCTTAGGCCCCTCCCCTGACCACCCACCATATCCTTAGGCCCCTCCCCTGACCCCCCCTCCCTCAGGCCCCTCCGCTGACCCCCCCCTCAGGCCCCTCCCCTGAACCCCCCCCCTGAACCCCCCCCCTCAGGTCCCTCTCCTGACTCCCCCCTTCTTTAGGCCCCTCCCCTGACCCTCCTCCCTTAGGCACCTCCCCTCTCCGTACCCGGCAGTAGGTCTCCACCAATCAGAGCTGTTTGTAAGGTCTCCACCAATCAAAGAGCTGTGTGTATTATATATTTATTTATGCACGACAGACAGACAGTCAGACAGACAGCTAAATAATCCCTGGTGGGCAGTGTGGAACATTGTTCCTCCCTGTATCATTTAGTCGTACAAAAGTTGTTCACCTGAAAATGTAAAGTTTGATTTCTGAAGGGCTGGACCAGCTCGAGCAATGGTGTCACCTTACCATGGCCCATTCCCTGGCACGAGTCCGCACCCGTCCCACATTCCTCTCCTCCGCGTAAAGAGCCCCTATGAAGGAGCCAATGGAGGTGCCTCCCACCATGTCAATGGGGATGCCCACGTCCTGCATGGCTTTAATGAGGCCCACCTGGGAGCAACCCCTACATTGTACACAGATACACACATGCCCAAGGATGTCAAAAATGTCAGGGGTGTATCCCAGCCCACACAGGTAGGCTGAGCTGTTAAATTGATCAAATATGCTCTTCTCTTTTTGAGATGGAATAAAAACCCCAAGTTATTGGGCCAGTAGTTATAAAGTAATGCCAATTGGGCCACAGAGAATTTGGCTGTAAAGGGGCTCAAGTTAGCAGTAATTCGACAAAAAAGTGTTAAATTATGGGTTTAACACTAATTCTGCCGCTTTTAAATCCAACAATTAGGCACTAATTTAGTTATTCCCACAGAAGTGGACTCGCTTTAGGCCGAAACACTCAGTAGGCAACCTAAGCAGTACCATGCAGTCCCATTTGTGACGTGCTATAAAAACAAGAGTTGTGTGTTCAATAGTCGGCCATGGTCTTGAGAATTTAAATCACACAGACAGTATTCCAAACGCTAAGAAGTCAGTAACTCAAAAAAATGTTGGCAAAAGCTGAGCTCTCACCTGGCACCTCCACCACCCAACACCAGTGCTATGGTGTTTCCAGTGAGCACTCTGGCCAGACGTGAAAAGTCACTGTGTCTGTCAGGGATCTTCTCAAACAACCGCTGGTACATTTCTCTCTGTAACAGAATAACAAAAAATACAAGGAAAAAATTAAAGCCATTTTACGCAGTTAATATCAATTTGGATAGCATGTTAGAGATAAAATTGTAGACATGGAAAACGATCCGACCCTTTGCAATTTGATGAGTTGTCAAAACTCGGGGTTGGGATTCTATTCAAGAATCAATAGGTTTTTCTTTCCATTGTAGTGAACGTAGGACTTGTAGTGAGTGAAGGGGTCAAAGGAACGCATTACCTACCACATGTATACGAATAACAAAAAATATTCTCACGTGTATGATTTGATGCATATATTGTGAGAATAACGATTTTAAAATATAAATCAGCACATTTTCTCATCAACACATTGTTACATAGCCATTATCTCTTGGGTACAACAGTTTTAAAGCCAAATGGCTTTTGAGGCCTTCACCAGCAGAGGATAGATCACTGCTGATGATGATGACAGTGATGAAAGTGAAAGGAACAATTTCAAATGAAGGGATTGAAACGTCATTACACAGCCGTTAAATATGACGTCACGAGTACACAAATTTCGATTTAAAGCTATCATGACTGCAGGGATTCATCTTCTTGGTTCTTTCGGTAAAGTCACGTAGAAGGGAAGTAATAAAATAATAAAAATAAAACATAACAAAATAATTCTCACGACGTTTTGGCTACAACGCAAGCAGCCGTCTTCAGGTGAAGAATGAGACACTGCCAAGCTTGGAGCTTATATATAAGCTGGGTTGGAGGTGGAAGAAGAGCTCCAAGCTTGGCAGTGTCTCATTCTTCACCTGAAGGCGGCTGCTTGCGTTGTAGTCGAAACGTCGTGAGAATTATTTTGTTATGTTTTAGTTTTATTATTTTATTACTTCCCTTCTACGTGACTTTACCGAAAGAGTACACAAATGAAAAGCCCATCGCAGCACTACACACCCACCAGCTTCGGGAGGCTGCGGCGAGAGAAGATTCTGCGGGGGCAGCGAATGTGCAAGTGCGCCGAGCACCAGCTGCGCATGTTGAGCCACTCGACGGTACGTGCCGGGGAGGGCCCATCCTCACGGTGCAGCAGCACGAGCTGCTTCAGCGCTCGCACGGCCGTGCTCTCCAGCATGCGCTCCAGCTGTGGGCGGATGGCAGTACCCACCATCGCGCACGCACAAAAGCAATGATGTTGGGAACCATTGGGTAATTTATTTTCGAGAGCTGGCATAGACTGAGGGTGTGGCACAAAGTCTGCCTCTCCGTTTATAATGTTGACATCACCACATCATGCACTCATTTTGAAGCAATGTTGATCATACAGAAGCTCATGCCAGGTAGGCAACATCTGTCACTGATTTATAAAGCCAGAGATTCTGAGATAAGTACAGTTCTCTAATCGCTATCCTTCCATTCCACACCACGCATGTATACGTCTCATCTCCGTGCAATAAACTTTTAACACACAGCATTAAAAGAAAATATATACTCTGGGCTCTTTGGTATTACTAAAACCACCATACAAAGTGGGACAATTCATCTCAGTGGCAACCATAATACAATCCTCAGGTACAGCAGGTGTGGGTTGGCTGTGGGTGCTCACGCTGCCAACAGTTGGCTCCTGGTCCCCGAGGCCCACAATGAGGATGCAGTCGGCTTGCCGCAGGCACCGCTGGGTCCACGGAGTCATGGTGATATCGGTCTGATACAGGACGATGCGGTGGATGTCCTCCTGCTGGCCCAGCCAGCTTGACAGTCGGTACTCGTGCAGGCTAATTTAACAATGTGGCAAAATCAAAATTTACAGAAAATGTTAGTCATTATTCAAGAAGGAACCTGCCCCCCAAAAAACTTATGCGGTGAATGTGACATCATGTTTTTTTCAGTTAAGCTTTGAATAATTTAATTTACCTGTCAAGGGCAGCCAGCCCTAACCGCTCCTTGATGATGTCACTATTCAACAGCAGTGGAGGACCTGTGAACCACAAGGTAAAGGCATAAACGAAGTCTACTTCGTGTTGACAAGTGCAAAAAAAATATGACCTACTAGTGGGCATAAAGTGGAACAAAGAAACAAACGTCCACTCCTCGTGTAGGGCCAGTACGGCTCCTTGTGACCGTGGTTACTAATTAATGTGACGGGCACTGACAGGGTCGCGTAAGGATAGCACGGGACCCAAGTGGTCATAAATAATAATTGAGACAGGGACAAACAGGCTCAGATGAGGGTAGAGAGTGTTGGGGTGAAGGGGCGTGGCCGGGTCAAGGGGTAGATAAAAGCCGGCGTGGAACAGGGCTCTGAACTGCTGTGGAGAGAACCAAGAAACTGTCATCGCACGTCGTCTTCATCATCTTGGATCGAGTTAATATTGTCTCCGTGACTACTACGCGTCCGCTCCTACGTAGTCAGCCAACTACATAGGGAGCGTCGCGTAGAGTCACAGAAGTTGCCCAACTATATATATAGTCAACTCGCGGATACCTGTTAAATTATCAGTGAGTGGGAGGACTTTATTCATAATAAATATATACATAACTGAACAAGACAGTGTCTCTGAGAGGTACATTACACATTTCCTGCTGGATAAAGGCCTCCTCATGCCATGTCCATCATGGGGAACTGACCATACTTCACCAAATCTATATAATGTGGGTTTGTGAAAGCAGGGAACATGGATATGGGCATATATAGATACAGCACAACAATTTCCTTTGCTGCAAAGCCCTCTGCTACACACCAGGTAGAACCTACAGCTGCCTAAAAAAACAATGGCGTGCATGGTGGTCATCCAGACAAGCATTATCCAAGGCTGAAGCCTGCTTGACTTCCAAGATCTGACGAGATTCGCCTAATTCTGAGTGCTATGGTCATAGGCATCATCGTTACATGCGACAGAGTGAAGTGCAAAGCTTACCAACACCACAGAGGGCGTGCATGAGCTCCAGCGTGAAGGTGGTGATGGGGGCATCGTCTGAGGCTGGTAGGATGGCCACAGTGGACAAGTTGCTGGCTGGGTTTGCGACCATGTCCAGATTATTTGGCACCGTGGCAATGCCCAGTCCACCACCTGCATGAAAAACCAAGCAATCACAATCCTTTGTCATCGAACAAACGCACCTTTGCAAATATAAGACACTTATATACGAGTGAATTTAACTTCAACATCAAGTTTTGAATTTGATTACTTAGCCTTCCAAGTGTCAATGTAAAACATGCTTTTTCATAAACGGACTCTCGATTCATACTGCACTGCTCACCTCCCAAAGGTCCTTTCCCTTGCTGAAGGTTTCCCAGAATCTTCTGTCCCAAAAGATGTATGAGCCGTGTCACCACCTGCCGATGCACATGACATACAGCTTGACGACAAAACACTGACAAACACTACGCATGTGCCAGGACTAGCGCAGTGTACTAACGGCGTCATGACTCCACCCCCACGTGCACTTGCAAAAAATGTAGCACGCATCGGGTAGCAATGAGCATTGTAGTGTGGTTAACCTGAGGGTATCGTCGTTTTATTGTATTGAGGGCCCCCTCTGGGAGCTTGGCCAGTTCTGAGTCACGGACGGCATGCACCGTGGTGGCCCGTGGTTGATACGTGAGGGCCTCCACCTGCCAAGGGATGGTCACAACACTGTCAGCTCCTCTTACACAGGATAACTCCCAAGTTCATGAGCAACATTATACTCGATGTTACGTGACAAATGAGTACACCTAAAAATATAACAAACGGCAAGAAAAGGGGACAACGTAAAATGACGTGCAATTCATTTGTAACAATTTAAATTACCACGAGTATAAACTCAGTAGAACTTGTGAATGCTCGATTACACAGGTCAACAAAAAAAAAACTTTTTTTTCTGGCCTGGACTTTTGCAGCTGTTTTAGACTAATTTCAGGGTGCCGATTCCAAATCTGATCTCAGATTTGCTCTATCACATCTCATTTTTATGCTATCGGCATACACCACTTTCATTGATTTTACCCAAAATAAACTGTCACTTATGATTGCAAGTTGTTGCGAGTCAGTGACTGCTTTAGTATTAAAATATGGTGCTGTATTTTTAGGATAGTGTGTTCATAATCTAATTTTATGTAGATATCCACATTTATTTAATATCTTTCTTCTGCAGTTTTTATTGAAAATGCATTATTTGATATCTCAAAACCCTGATGTGATAGACAAAAACTGATGCCAGATTTGGAATCAGCACCCCAAAATTACCTTAAAACCATTGGAATACCTTATGCCAGAAAAAGTGTGTTGACCAGTGTTATTATTAAGTGCAGCTCAAACCATCCTTAATGAAGAACACTGTGTCACGTACCACTCCGATGAGATCCCCGCGGCCATACTCTCCCGCCAGCTCCTTCTTTCCGTTGTCGTTGCTGATAACCGAACGCAGTCGCCCACTGAGCACAATGTACGTGCTATCCGACTTGTCTCCTTGTCTGTAACGCATTGGTAGTGGGTTAATGTTATGAAGAAGCTTTTCGTTTTAAATATGGGCACCATTTTAAATTTGTATCCGGAAGAAAGTTTAGATTTTGATTTAAAGCTTTCGTGACTGCAGGGATTCATATTCTTGGTTCTTTCGGTAAAGTCACGTAGAAGGAAAATAATAAAATACAAATATAAAACAATACAAATTCTCACTACGTTTCGACTCCAACACAAGCAATCATCATCAGGTGTGAAATCCACAGCAAGAAAATTTCAAATTTTCTTGCTGTGGATGTGACTTTACCGAAAGAACCAAGAATATAAAGTTTCGATTTTCAAGGGTGGCAAAGCGCACGTAACAATACAAGCTAATTATCAAAACAGGTTTGCACTTGGGTCATGTATGGTGCAAAATATTGAAATACGAAAGTCTTTCATGTTTTCCTACCTATAGCAGTAAGTATATACTGATCACACCGACTTTGGAATTATATCAAGAGTATGGCGAGGCACAAGGGAAGTAATGCGTATCTGCCTACACTGTACATGTTTCTCCTATATAATAAAAATATACCCTGTAACTTGAAAAATGTCCCGCATCCTAAATAGGTGCGTGCGATAAAATGCATCGCAGATTTGTTTAGCGCAATGATGAAGATACATCTACCAGTATTGTAAAGTGCCATTTGGTAAAAGAAAACATCGATAACAGAGCAATGTACTCTTTGTTTTTTTCGGTAAAGTCACGTAGGTGAAAACAAAATAAAATAAAAATAAAACAACTAAATTAAATCACGACGTTTCGGAAGCAACAAGCATCCGTCATTAGGTGTACTGTAGCGTATGAAGAGAGCTACAGTAATTTTGCTGGAGCAGTCACACCTGATGACGGATGCTTGTGTTGCTTCCGAAACGTCGTGATTTAATTTAGCCGGTTAATTTTTATTTTATTTTCACCTACGTGACTTTACCGAAAAAATCAAAGAGTATGGATCCTTGCAGTCACGAAAACTTAAAATCTAGAACAAAGCAATGCATAATCGGGAAAGATCACACATGGGCCAAGAGGCCGAGTGCGAGTGGGGCACAAGACCGACCTGTAAACAGCTCTCCCCGCTTCCACCGCCACCCAGTCGAGCGCAAAGTCGATTTGTCGCACAAATGCGGACATCCGCTTAACCACCGTGTGCGCCACACTCAGCACCACACTGGGTTCTTCTCTCATTATCCTGAAAGACAAAACGCAGATGGCAATAATACTGTGGTTGGAAGTTTTGCAACAGGGTTTCATTTTTATTTTAGAAAAAAATCCTGGACACAGGAATGGAAAAAGCGATGTGTAGAGCCAAACTTGGCAATAATTCCAAATAGAAAATAAATAAATGGGTAAAGGTTTGAAAAAGTATAAAAGATCACAGTTCACCAGATTTTGCACTTATGGTTGGGTAATTTAAAACATATCTAAAATGTATATTAAATGCAAAGAATATATTAAAATAAATGACTTAGCATATGCTTTGCAATATGCTATGTAATATAAATGCAAAATATAGTAAACAAGAACACATCATAGTATAATGTGTAAAATACTTAGATAAAGAGTTTTACAATTTACTCGCGGCAATACATTAGTGGTTTTTGATTGCCAGACTTTTTAGCTATCCGGACCAGCGCTCCCCCCTATTCATCCAGCTTGCCGGGGTTTTACTGTAAGTATATGAAGTTAAACTAATATATTGCTGTGCATTTGAAAACCAGACTTAATGACCAAACTTAGCAGCATTTTAAGAGGGTAAAAACACATTTCATATCTGATCATCATTGCAACATTGTAGCCCACAATTCAAAAACGTCATCAACGTAAACCAAGGGAAAGGCGCAGAACTGCACTTACTTGCTCATGCCACTGTTGGCAGAACGGCCTCTACTCGAAAGCTCTCGAGGGTATTTGGCCTACTATAGCACACCAGATAATACGTCTAGGAAGAGATGAGATTACCCACACTTTAAACGACCACGTGACCTTGCCAATCGACTGTACTGTACACTGTACAGTCGATTGTACACTGTTGAAGGGCCGAGACAGGAGATCGAGCCAGTGACCTCTGAATTGTACTTGCATTGTGCTAAGCATTACACCACGACAGCATCCCGAGAAAATATAGCAATTAGGGACAGCCAAAGCAGTGAACATCATCTCAAGCCTGCCGACAACACGGAGACATGTAACCTTACTCGTAGAAGTGGCCCTTGGAGATGCACAGGAAGGTGCAGTCTTTGACAGCACGGATGGTGAAGATGAGAGGCTCGCCTGTGAGCACAGCCAGCTGCCCTACGATCTCTCCCGGGTGAGCCAGGAAGAGCAGCACCTCTTCCTCGCGGCCGATGAGCCGCTGGTACACGTGAAGTGAGCCCGAAATCACAAAGTGGATGCTCACATCCTGCACCACATGGGGGCGATGAGAACAACACATTAATGAGTTTGTGGGCACCCTTTATCGCTCAAAGCAATGGGTTTATGCTTCCGAAAGCGGACATGTGCTAATAAAATGCTGGCACGATGTACACTCAGTTTAATCACCTAAGATGCTGCTGTAACAAAAGTTAGCTTTATTGTGGTAAAGACAGTAAAATAAAACAGCAAACACACTGCTATAATGACACCAATGAGAGTACCAACTTATGTCATTTTAGAGTAATGAATCTCCTTATGCCACTGTGTCACATACATGCACAGCTCTCGCTGGTCAAGCCTCACCTGATCTCCTTGCCGGGCCACCATCGCACCAGCCTTCACATTGTGCAAGGTTACCCGATCATTGAGCAGTGAGGGATCCTGTAGAAAAATATATTAAGCTAAACATTATTTCGAGACTCTTTAAACCTGAGGACCCATCCATACACCTGAGGATACATTTACATGTTGTACATAATAAAAATAGCTGCTTCACCATGGTACGTGCCAGGCTAGGTGCACAGCAAGGACATGTGAAGGGGCAAAGGTTCTCTGGTAGGCTATAGGACACCCAGTGGCTCAGGTGACTAGCACATGTACCATCTACATGCTGTACTCTGCCAACTGTGTTTTAGCCACCTGACACCTTGTTCATTTTTGTGTTCATGGCTCCTTAACAAAGAGCATATTTCACAGCCTTATTCCATAGCAGCCAATCTTGACACAACTGGTACCAGTCGTCATAAAGTCCATATTCTCCAGATCTTCCTGCACAACATTGCCGCACATGTTGTATATCACGCAGGATGCCCATTTAGGGTCGACATGGCCAAACAATAGCTGAATGCACATACATTGGCCAGGCATGTGGACTGTAACCAACACATCTGCCTGAGGAACTCACTGAATGGAATTTTGTCGAGGTCTCTTAAGTATCTGTGACCTCCATACACAATCGAACTCATACAAATGTAGACTATTCTGAATGTTTCAAAGTAACCAATTAGAATTTTTGTTACATATACACAAACAACGACAAACGCAACATGAACAACCGAACAACCATGGCCATCCACACTTGTACCTGGCAGCAATATCACCACAGCGCTTGTGCCAGACTAGGTACGAGGAAAAGTACATGTACACACCTGCAATTTGACGAGAGTTAGCAAGTCTCTCTTGGCTGCTTCCAGCTTGCTGTTCATCTTGTCTCGGTCCCCCCAGCCACCAACATTATGGCCCTCAATTTTGCCCTCTTTGGGACTCATTTCGAAATCGTCGCCCTCCACGCATGCCGGGTAATGATGAACTATGGAGGGCAGCTCCATCACGGTCACCCGCTTCTCCTTGACTCCATCCTTTGGCACTGCCATCTGCTGAGCCAAAGTAAAGACAATCATAAGTCTATCGCCACTTTCTGAAAACCTTGTGTGTGTGTGTGTTCAAAATGAAACATGTATGTTTACAATTCCAGATTAGAGGATGTCAAAACCATGCATTCTTAGATATATTGGTGTACATTTGAAAACTTTCAGATTTAGGTGCTTTTAATCCTCAAAAAAGAATACTAAGATGAATGTTATTCAGGGACGACTACAAATATCTGACTATCAGAAGTCATGTTTGTACCTTTTCGGGCACTGAGGGGACCACCTCCTCTGGAGATGTACCAATACGTGCTCTTTGAAATGCCATGTCCAGGTCTGTAGGCGATGCTTTGGATGGGCCTAAACCAAAAAAACATGACATGGACACCCAACAAACCAGTAAATAAACATGCTGCATGGCAACTCATCTCTCCATTATAACTATGCTTTTGATAAAGACGTAGTTTACATTGTCCAGAAATTATAATAAAAAATCGGCAAGAATAGATGTGAGAATTCTTGACAAATTTTGTTCAAACATTTCCTACAAGGGACACTGTGAGCTGAAACTAGGACAAGAGATGAAATGTCGAAGCATGTGCAATTTAGACAACTTAGTTACATTTTTGCATTTTTCACATATTTGTTTCCAGTGCTGCATTATTGAGCAACAATTACTAGCTGAAGATCAGGACCATTATCATGAAAACATCATGAGGTGGACTAAAAGCCCATAGAGCCATGCAGCATTTACTTACAAGCGGAAGGACTGGAGGGATTGTGATCTGTGCCTGTTGTGACAGAGAAATGATATAACAGCAAGCATAACAGTGCAACAAGCACCAAAAGGGCCAGCTTAAAGCATCCAATATGCTTTAATGCTACCGCAGCAGCACCACAGCAACGTTTTATAAATATAATTTCTAAAAGTGAAACATCGGTAAAGGATTTTTTTTAAAATGAGGGTATGTATGAAGCAAATGCAATTTAAGTGTGTGCCTTCGGTTAATTAAAAAGCCACCATTGAATTGTTAATGACCCAAAGCAAACATGCAGTACTGCCAAAGAGACAGGAAAAATGTACTTATTGAACATATTTGTGGGCAAACAAGAAACAACAGTCACAGCACAATAAATTCCATTCCAATAAAAACATGTCTTGACATTGGATTTGAGCTTTCATTTGTTCATATTGTTGAGTACATCACTGTCGATTCGCAGCCACTGCTCATATCACATCCGAATACATTCTTACTTACTTGTGATATCCACAGGCATGGAAATGGAACGACTTATGTTTAAGCGACTATTGCGCTCTTGAGCAGCATTTTTTGCACCCTCTGAGCCTGCAGAACAGAATGAAACATATACTTCGTAAATCATCACAGTATAGTGCAGTATTGTATTCATACAAGCAATTGCCAGAGTTGTCTGCGCAGTATAACGTGTTGTTTGTGTAAAGTTTATACTTTTATTTTATTTTTTACACTGTAGAACTTCTAAATAAAATTGTAAACAACCCAAATACTCTTAAAAATAAGTATTGGTGCAATGTTTTGTGGTAAAACTTTAACCAAATCTTACAATGGGAATTGCATGACCTTAAAACACAGTTGAGTTTGGGGAAGAAAGATACTGGAGGAAATCACCACCCACAGGTGGTGTTCACAATGATTGAAGCAAGTGGGTGTGCCAGCTGCTTAACATCAAGTATCAAGGGCCTGAAAAATTGCAATGCCCAAGCAGAAATTACCCAGACTATATCTGCATATTGCATGTCTTAGCATGGTGAAGGCTAAGTCACGTAACCCATGTTACCTGCACAAAATTGGGGAGGGAACCTCATCCAACAATGATCAAAAGTAATTGTAATATGGTCTGTACATGTACGTGTTTTTGTTTGTTGCGGTTGCACCCGATTCAAGAGCCGAATGGCTCACAAGGCTACACCTAATCAATGAACTTGAACTGTCGACAAACATCTCTATGAATGCGTGCAAGTGTCCATCCACCAAGACAAATGTACATTTCCCATTGTGCGTTGTACAACCAAGCTGAAAATGCCTCTTAGAATGACATGCACTCACCAGCTGGTGTGGGCTGGGGCTCGGAAGACTTGGTGGGCTGTTCGGATACTGTCCCCAGGGAGGTGACAGAGCCACGCTTGCCATACCTCACCGGACTGGCCTTTGGAGACAGGCTGCCCACGTTAGACAGTGGGATGGCTTGACTCTCCTGGACAGTCAGGCAAGCGAAGTATTTGGTGATGTGTTACCAGCGTGAAACTTCAGACAGGACGTTACTTCAGAAGCAATATCAACTGAGCGTTGCAATCTCAACAAAGCGGGTTTTAAGATACCAGCCATTTACAGTTTTGCAATAGTGAAAGCAAATAGAAATGTGCACGTGTGCCAGTTCTACAAGCAATGAAAAATGCAAGCAGAAGCTATGGCCACTGTCTTACACTCTGTGAGAGTGCATAATCATTAACTCTCCAAGATGTGTCTGGTGATTTTGACACCACAAACCAAGCCATGCTCTCCACAATTATGTTGGGATCACCAGAACACCTTTCTGCTTTGTAAAACCCTGGAGTTGACATTGACTATGGGCTCCCGTACCCTTCCCACATATCTCAACTCTGCAGGACCTCATTCCTCCATCTGTGCAACATCTCCCACAATCATCATTTCCTTACCCAGGCTGATGCTAAGACTCTCCCCAGGTGCCTTTATCACATCTGGACTTAACTAATGCAACCTTCTCTTCTATAACCTCCCCAAATCACTCATCTCCAAATGCCAGATGATGTAAAATTCCACTGCCAGACTGCTCATATGCACCAACAAACTCCCAACCTCTCCATTAGCTCCCAACGCAATCCCGGAAAATGTTCATGATCGTATTTGCTTATCTTCCAAGATCCTCCATTGACTCGCAGCTACCGACCTCTGCCCATAACTTACTGCCTCCTGCTCTTTATAAAATACAGAGGCTCATTGTTTCTGTACAACATCTTAAAAGGATGTCGCATTACATCTCTTGATAAATCCATAATTTTATTGCAGAGTGTTTTTTTAAAGTAATTGGGAATGGTCAAAAAGGTATGAAAATAACAGGTGGCTGCCGTGCAGAGCACAACAAATTCACATTGAATGCTGGATGGACTGTATAAAATCTATATGATTGACAATAGATATTTCATAATCGATGCAAAAATATTGGTAAATATATAATTGTAACCCGGTGGTAGCTCGTTACCTATATAGATGGATAATATTCCATGAGGTTATTGTACTTTAACTATACTAACCAGAATAAGATCAAAATGTGAAATTCATGAAGAATGCGGTGGCTTACGAGACATGCGAATCATTCACGTGTTCTGGTGCAATCATGGTTTTTTTTTTCCCACAAACTACTTAAGTAACATCCGCCTATGCCTGTAAAACTAGGAAATGTGGTCATCCCAGCGATGCACTACGCGTGAAAAAGCAGAGTGACAATGCCGTGTGATTGCAATTCATGGCTAGCAAAAGCAACGAACGTCTCTCGCCAGCTGCGAAAAGTGCGCCAGGTACTCGCAATGAAAATTAAACGCATAGCAAGACAATAAAGCGGGTGGAAATTTTGTACTGCGTTTATGGAAGCATAATGCATGATTTGCATACCATGACATTTTCGTTTTGCTATGAAAATAAAACATTCGTACCTTTTTTGACATCTTTTTACATTCCTTTTTGTATTATGAACGACATGTGGAAAAATTCGACAAGGTTAATACATTAGAAAACAAGGAAATTAATGTGTAATACCTCAAGTCGCGAAAGAGCGTTAAAGAAAAACATCTAATTTGCCTATTTTGCAATTGAAAAAAATTACATCAACATTCCACATCTACGCAAGTTTAAATGAGTGTAAATTAGTTTAAATCGAAGCGTCACCATGCCCTGAACAAAACACTGTCCCACATCTCTGCACCAGCAGTTACCTTTATACAAACAATTGTGTCATGTGCACTTTTATGTGTTTACCAAGTCATTCTTTACTCAACGGCCTTTAAAAAGTACTTACTGCACTGAAGAGTTCGTTGGTGAGCCCCAAGTAGTTGTGAAGAGCCAGGAAAGTCACTCGTTGTAAGCGCACCATAATAATCTGTAAACACCACACCAACTACATTAATATTTCTATTATGCGTAGGAGAGCAAAAATAATCATATAAAGTCACAAGGTCAGCCCAGTCGAGAACACTTTATGGTAAATTAGATACTAGAAAAAAATATGACAGCTCTGTCAATCCACTGCTTTCCCATGCCACGTTCATCATGGAGATTGTTTGACCATACTTCACCACTCTGATTAATACAGGCGAGTGAAGAGAGACACCAAGGACTAGTTAAAATGTAATTCGCCACCGATGTTATCCATAACTGGGAATCAAACTCAGGTAGACAGGTTCATCATGCAGTGCACTTACCACTATACCATTATGGATGGAAAGAAAATTGGTTGAATGTCTTTACATCAGTCAAGCATGTCAATAAACAATAAAGTGTGTGCGGCAATGATGAGCCATGCTTGAATTTACTTCACATCATCAATAAAGCATCAGGGATAAGGGAGCAATGCTTTCATGCACAATAAAAGAAAAGTGCTAGCCAGTGCAACAACACCAAGTGTAAACATGAACATAACATTCTTTGTATATCCAAAGGACAACGCTTCATTATCAGCATGTATTAAACGGAGTTCTCACCTGCACAACTCGGACGAGGGTCTCTGGGTACTTCTGGAAGACGGACTGGAAGGCTTCTGCCGGAAGACGAAGAACCGTTGAGTTAACAGCTGCCCGAGCGGACACTGTCTTGTAAGGTGCTGGGTAACCCTGCCACACACAAGATGGCATCAGTGCAACATTCTTCCTCCTGCTTTAAAGAAACGTAAAGAAAAATAATGTGCGTCGCTTGAATCTGGTTCTGCTTCAAATACTTTTGATACAAGTAGCCAAGCTGGACATTTTTATCAGATGATTACAAAACTCCGCAACCACAAAGGTGGTAAACTTTGAGGTATGCAGATCACATCTGAAAATATTCAACTACCTATCTGATGTGCCAAAAGTTAATCCAAGGGTCACAATCAACTCTGTTTTTATATAGTAAAGCTATGCTGTTTACAACTTAGTATGCGAGAAAGTCAAGTCAATTTTATTTTTGTTTACATAGGTGGTGCCTTTCTGGTACAAAATCTGACACTCTCTGTGGCCTTTTAATTAAACACTTGCTTAATCTTCACCAAATCAAACTTCTATTTCACTACGGGCACAGTTGTGGACGTACATGACCTACTGCAGGGTACGTACTGTGATTACGTCCAGAATGCTGAGCAGACTGTGCACGCTGTCCCCTGGGTGTACCTCCTTGACCACAGCCTCTGTTCCATCCTAGCCGAGGCCAAACAAAAATCAAACACAAAATTATCACAAACATATTTACATTCATCTGTTTTTTTGTTTGCAATGCAAAGAGACATCACAAACAACGCTGTTCTGGCTTCAATGTCCAGTACACAAAAACACATTGGTGCGGAAAGAATAAACAAAGCTGTTGACCAGAGAGGCTATGTAAAATATATGAAATAATCACATAACAAAACTTTTTTCTAAGCGCATGTAAAGGAAAATACGTGATACATGTCGAGCCAGATTGCCTGAATTTGCACTCCATTGCTCTGGTAATGTCTTCAAGATGTGCAACAAAATTCTAAACTTGCGCATCACAGTGTATACCTGCCCGATTCCAAATGGTGATCAGGCAATAGTCAAATCCTCAAAAACACACGGAACACATAGCCACTGTCTTAATTAACCATTAACTGCTAATAATAAAAAATAAAGATGCACCACAAAAGAGACAAACTCTTTGATTACAATTTCATTTCCAACACGAGTTTTAAGCTGTGTTAAGGTACAATGGTTCACACATTGTACCTTACCACATACTGCACTATGAACGCAAAGAGATCGGAGTTTGATTGTTGGCCACAACTAACATCAGTGGTAAGTAATACTCGTCGCACTGACAAGTGTGAATTACAGTAAAAGAACCATCACGGCATGGGTAGGCCTTCATCCAGCAGCGGATTGACTAAGGACGGTGTATTGTTTATGATAAAAACATCCACATAGGTAATCCACATCACCATCGTGTGCTCAAGTAGCATCATTGCAACAACAGACTAGGTTTTGATTTAAAGCTTTCGTGACTGCAGGGATTCATGTTCTTGGTTCTTTCGGTAAAGTCACGAAGAAGGGAAATAAGAAAATAATAAATATAAAACAATAAAATTCTCACGACGTTTCGACTGCAACACAAGCAATCGTCATCAGGTGTGAAATCCACAGCAAGAAAATTTGAAAAAAAAATAACAGACTAGGTACGTAAAAAAAAAGTTTTTTGGGTTGCAAGTTTCTTTCAGGTGGTTCGTTTCCAGCTATACGTGTCCTCAATGTAAAAGGCACATCCAATGCAACTTGCTCACACTCACATTCTCGGTGATGCACACTTCCAACAGGCCATCCTGCAGCACATATATAGAGTCATCTGGCTGCCCTGGCCGGAAGATGTGCTCTCCTTCATGGAACTTCACAAACACCATGTGCTTGCACAGCTCCAAGAAAAGGGGCTTCTCAAAGTGACCAAGCACCCTTCATTGGCAAAATTACAAGCGCATTAACACACAATTGATATTTCACAAATTGCTGTATTTAGGGTATTATAATCATCAACATTCTCATATACTGCACGTATAAATACTAGGGATGCTAAGATTATTTGATTCATTTATTATAATCAACTCTTATCCTCATTATACATGCATTGAATCATATTTCAAATGTGTTTAACCCACAACATATTGTATAGTCATGCTTGTTTGTGTAAACTGTCTAGACTGGATTGTTTAAGCAGTTCTGTACTGAGTGATTCTCTTGTTATTATCTCAAACATCCCTTTATTCTGGTACCTCAAAATATACCACATGGGAGGTGCAGTACAAATAATAAAGGATAATACAACTAGAGATTCTACATACAGCACAAGTTCAACAAAGCAATCTATTCTGAAATTAACCTGTGATGCCAAAGCTTGACAATTCATCAAATCATCATGGCAGTAAACCACCAACTGTAGAATTAATGGTGTTCACTCCTCGTCAAGGAGCATAAATCATCACGCAAACTCCGGTTATCCTCGCAGCGGCAAAGACGGTCATTGCATTGTTCGCTTTCAGATGCGGTTCTGCAGCCAGATGGAACTCTCTTCCTTCCGACATTAGGAAGCCACTGGAGCTATCCACTTTTAAATCGATGAAGAAAACGAATTTCTTTAGAACTGATTTTTGTGTTTAGTTTTCCGTCCTTCCCTGGGACCGACGATTAGCACGGTTGGCTACGTACGAAAGAAGTTCAAGATACATATGTACACACACATACATACCGTACGTTCTTCAGCATGTAGAGGACCTCGGAGGGCAGCCTTGAGTCGGACACCTCGTACTCACTCAGGTCAGCCTCTAGCAAAGCTGGCGGTGGTTCCTTCGGCTGTAGCGTTGGCAGCTCCTTTTTAAAGCGCAATATTCTGCAAATAATAGACCAGAAGATTAATATCTCATCGAAAGAACCAACAGATATCTGGTGATATCAACAGCCTTTCATTAAACGTAGACTTATTGTGGAAAGAACAATATTTTAATTAAAAATAAAACTTGTGTATGATTTTTTTACATTTTCCATGGCTCAACAATAACCAAGTATTTTCACGATCATTCATGCCAAAGTGCATACTGTACAGTAAATCAAATAACTATGACACCGACAACTTAGGTAAACACATGACAATACAAAAGCTGTGTAAGCAATATACTGTGATTACAGTGCAGTGCAATGTCATGGTATTATTGCTGGAATCAGTATTCGGCAAAAGCAATAATTAAAATTTTGCACGAGCATAAAGGTTGATTTGGCATTTGCAGCACCAAATCAGTTACTGATAGGGATTTCCTCTGGAGACCACCAGACTGCAGAAAGAGCATCTTTTCTGGCCAGCTTCCAATCCCCTCCATACACACGAAGAGAGAGGAGTCGACCACACCCTGCTTGGTGATCCAAGCATACATACACAAATATCCCAAGCTATACACATATCTACAGCTGCCAGAGGCATGAACGTAAGCGCATGCATATAAAATAACTATTCACTGACCTCCCCAGTCGTGGAGGGGAAAGTCTTCACAACCTGATATCAGGCCAGTGCCGTGCTACTGAACCTGGGGGGTGTTGGCAGGAGCCTTGTGGACGCTGCCATAGCCTAATCAAATTATTTTTCATGCAACTACAAACATATTATATTTTTGTCTGGCCTGGTAGCAGCTACATTAGTACCCGATAGGTACCCGATAGGTCTCCCCTAACATAGCAAACAGCACCCCTTTAATATAAGTGGAAAAGCCCACTGCCTGACAAAAAGGCTGCATCAGCAGAGACTAGGATGTTCAGTCTGTAATGGAAGATTAATAAAAGTAGCATATGCCAAGGTGGCTCCCCCATGAATTTATTCCAAGGTGACCTTTTTAGCGCTGGCCCAGAATGTCAGCACCACCCTCGTGAAGTGCACGGTAACAAAGAAGGAGAGCTGTTTATCAGCATGCTCAGGACACAGGGTGATTCAAGACTGTATTCAAGTTGCCAAATTAAACTGCAAGCCGCCTCCCCATTCCACTTGGGGAAAGGGGGGCAGGGAGTTGTTCTGAATGGGAGAGCCTTGCGAGCTGATCTAGAACCAGGGGAAGATGCAACAGGGCATCCAAATTCAATTGCGGAGGCCACCGCGATGGCTGCATGGCCCTCGGCAGACATGCCAGGATGTGATTGGTGTCTGAAGAGAGTAGCCTCCACTCACGGTAGCCCGGACTCACTAGTCAAAGAGACTGACATCCCATATACTTGCAAATAGCATGAGATGTCCCCCTGAAGGGATCTTGGGAAACAGGAGTGGGTGGGGGGGTAAACTGTGTGACCGTACCATCAGCACTTGGGAGTCAGTGGGGGTGAAAGTTCCCTCAGTTAAGGATCTTTTTTCCCAGAACTGTCATGGAGAATGGGCGGCCCCTCAAGTCTTGGCCCCTTCTAGCCTTAAGGGGTGGATATACCCCTGAGTGGCACGAAGTGGAAAGCACAGCAACTTACGGGAGGACTCTTTCAGACAAATCCTAAGTTAACAGCAAAATGGCAATAGATGACAAAACAATCTGTGCACCGCATAGAAGGAAATTGCATTGATGGTGCAGGAACTTACAGTCCGTGTTGCCGTTAACTCATACAGCCAGGGCACAATATTCTAGATTGCTTTGTTCCTTTTTTATGCTTCTTCTATTGCAGGTAGACTATGATGGATGCTGGAAATCAGTAGATAAAGTCACGGGACTCACATGGCTCAAAAAAAAGTTCCGCAATGGACACAGCTAGCTCTGTGACACTCCAACAGCAAAAGCTGCATGCGAGTAATAGCTAGCACCACCGCAGAAGACAAGACCCATGAGACAGGGGGCACGGGGGCGCCCTTTGGGAACCACCAGACTCTGAGGCCTGCACACACTCCCCGATGAACCAACAAGCCGAGGTAGAGTGCCACTTTCTGCTGCACCAGACAGCATGGAGGTGGCCAAACGTGACCTCCCTATGATGTAAAGATGGCCCATCTCCAAGCAGTCCAGACAAACCACATACTTGTCCAACTGTTAAAACAAGTTTTCTCTGAAGCACAAAATAAGGGGAGGTAGAGAAAAAACCTACACGGCAGACGGACACAATAATCCCCTGTGGGCTGGTGGAACCAGGAGGTTCCTACCAGTAAAATGTCTCCAGTGCCTTAGCACACAAAGCACAAGGTATACAGGACAGGCCACCAGTGTTTAATAAATAGCTTGTAATGTTTAAAATGACCAGGGGAAACAATGCAAATCAACAAAGGTTAGTGACACTTAGGTAACATTAAACCAACTTTGCACACTTGGAGTAATATCGACTGTGGCAGGATCTGTAGGAATAAAAGTGAATGTATATAACCTCAAATTGTCAACACATACCAGTCAAGTCTATTCACAATTTTAAAAAGTTATATAAATAACTGAAAAGAACACGTTTCAAGATGTCAAGGACTGTACACGACCAAAGGCCAAATCACATGAAATGCCTATGCCTTTCAACATAACTTATTTGAACATTGCACTTGGCACATCTCCAGTATGTTACATAAGCTACATACCAGTAGTGTTTATACATTCTCATGTTCATCTCCCTAACATCAAACTTGTGTGCACTATCAAAAGTAATCTCAATGCTACATACCATGTAATCGTTTAATTGGAAATATATAAATATATTTTTTTACAAATGGTTTTATAATTTAAATATTTTATGAAACCCTCCATTTGTGCGAGTTTGGATGACTAAAGCAGTTTGAATTAAAAATAAGGCCTTAACAAATGAAATGTAAAAAAGTATGCTTTTGCAGCTGCTTGTAATGCGAGTTTGCTTTTCACTATGGCCTGCATGCTGACTATTTCTCCTCTCGAGATTTTACTTCGTACCGCTGCGGGGCTCTTCAGAAGTTGAATTAGTAATTTACCTCTTTTTATAACTAATTAAACTGCTACACTGAGTTTGGATAAAGAGAGCGACAAACTACAAATCAGGAGATGAGCAGGTAGATACGCTCTCACTCGTGCTATTCGATGCAACATTAGTCGATGTTTCCCAAAAAAATTGATGGCAAAAATGAAGGCATAACCATAGGTGTTAAAAAGTATTAGCTGTCTCCAATTTTCTGATATCATAAGACATTTATAAATGACCGACAGGAAGTTGCCAAAATAGGCTGCAAAGTTCGTCTCAATATAAGCATGGGCAAAAAACAAAAGTCACATTCAACAAAGTTGGCTAAACAAAGAAAAGGTATTGCTCTAGGACAACAACTGGAAAATACAGCACCCCATGGCAATTATTTAAACATATTTGGATAGAGAATTATTAACTGAAGAGGCAACAAGAGTAGGATGGAATGAATACTGAATTTGACCATTAAAAAGCATCATACCCAAGTCTCTGAAGGAGAAAGTCTTAAATGAATGCATGTTACCCATTATCAAAACACATTCCTGCGGAGGGAGCTGGTAGGAACGTTGGGTTGCTCGGTCAATGGCCAGGGTCAACGACGGCGTGGTGTATTCCGCAAATATGGCCGACTGTGAGGGCGGGCACAAGCCGGCGTGAGTAGGTGAAACGTTGAGTTTTATAAGGGCACCACGGGGTGACCAGCCCCTCCCCTCCCAACCCCACCCTTCCCACCCCCCACACCCAGCCCCTCCCCACCCTCCCCACCCACCCAGCCCATCCCCACCCACCCAGCCCCTCCCCACCCTCCCCTCTCCACCCAGCCCCACCCCTCCCATTTTTGGATGCATGACGGACGGACACAATAATCTCCTGTGGGCTGGTGGAACCAGGAGGTTCCTACCAGTAAAATGTATTTATACTGAGACATGGATACCAACAAAGAAAATGCAACTAAAATGGGGACATACGCAAAGAAGCACAGAGAGATGGACGCTGTGAAATACACTGAGATACATTCCGAACATGTGGTTCAGGGGAACAAATAGAGACAACAATGCAAATCAGACATCATATTCAAGAAAGCAAATGGGCAAGGCGCATTACTGAAGGATGATGGCCAATGGACAAGGCTTGTAATGGAATGGCAGTCAAAGGAAAAAACGTGCCATTGAGACACTGAAAAATGGAAAAATTAAATAAGCAATGAGGACAGTGGCATCGTGGGGCCATGTGGGGTGGCGACAGTGTGATGACTTTAGCAGTGGCTAGTGGTTGACGATGTCAGGATATATATCTGCTGACATTTTGCGAGTTGGTGCCTGAAGTAAAAGAAAAAATGTTGCACTTGAAAGGATAGGAGGGGGTATAAAAAAATAAATAATAATAAAGGTCACATTTGCAAGTACGAAATTGTCTTGGAATGCTGAAGACCCCTAACAAAAAGACATACAATCCAACGTATCAAACGACATGATTGCATCTGCTAAACAGGTTTGATTGGTTTCACTTTCCCCGAGTTTACAGTGTACGAAAAAACTAAATATCCATGTATATACTAAGTTGAGCTTATGTGACTATTAGGATGACTGCACACTATGTGTCCCACAACACACACAATCATTGCAAATTCGTGGGTGTGTATTACAACTGATTTTAAAAGCAACGGAGGTGTATATTACGTCTAATGACTCAGAACCCACCACCCACATGACCCGAATGACACTTATAATACTTATCACAATAGTTTGCCATTCTTCCCCCACACCTCCGATGAACACGGTTGGCTACTTTTGGTGTGAAAGAGGTTCAATGTACATACAATACAGCCCACTGCACATCTGCTAGTCTAGCATGCTGACTTTGTTAAATAGGTTACTGTACCATTACACTTTCCAAGTAAAATTGCTTAAGTAATTAACATTCGGCCATACAATGTGTGAGAATGTTTTCATCGTTCATGTATAGTGCTTAAAAATGGTAATTACAGCAGTTCTGATATAATTACCTTTTCATTCCACTTGGTAGGCAAACACCATTAAAACACAAATACAGGTAAGACATATAACACCATGCACCATTTCAAATAATATATAAACCTTATTCAAAAACTTCCAGACCAAACATATTTTTCAAGCAATTAAATGTTTTTGTTCAGACAATAGAAGCTTCATCTCATTACCATTTTCTACAATTCCCAAAATGCAATCAATGAACTGAACATCTGATCACCAAATCGCAATGCACATATGCCATGTGTCGTTGTCACTTTAAACCTGTTTAATTCGAGACCTATCAGAGGCAAAAAAGATGGTAGTTGTAGTGAGACTCACTTTTTCGCCAAATTGAGGACCTTCTGTCTTTTTCTGAGACGACTCCTCTGTGTGCTTGTCGTAGCATTCTCCACCAGTGCAGAGGTTGACTGAGACATCTAAGAGTGGCATATTAGGAAGCAGTGTTACACGTGCATGATCTAGGGACGCTGACACACATGAACAGAGCTTACCCAAACAGAAAATATGACCGTATTTATAACAAATTAATGTCCTTGATTATGATTAATGCACAAGCAAGCAATAAAATGTGTTATTGGGTTTTCAAAACGTCTTACCTTCCTCATGATCTTGCGACCATAAAACATGACTTTGTCTCTCTTGCGAAATCTATACCTTGGAACATCTTGCCTTTGAAGGTCTATAATAATCACAAATTATTGCTGTTAGAATTTTAATATGATACCTCTTGTAGAGCTATTACTGTTAATTAGGGCGTTTTTCAAATGAAACTTAATTAAAAAAACAGAATGTTCCCTGATATTTCACAATCACCAAATTTTAAAAAGGAGTCGGTGGGCAGTTATACATATGGAAGTGTCTACAAAACAGAGCACTTTCATGTTCAACTGATAATTATCATTTATTATAATAAATTAATGCCTTGAGAGATTTTGGGATAATTATGTATTTCCCAGATATTAATCATTATATTCCAAAAAAGTTTGCTGGCTAGATTTGTGCCTGGCTCCCTGGCGCACAGCAAATAGCACGTGTGTGGTGATGACATCAACATTTCTGCAATGATGATGTCAACTGTTACCCACATCCCGTGTTGAGCAAGGATCGTGCGTGCTGACGTCACCCACCCCCCCCTTCCACCACAGCCGTGTATCCCACACAAATGTGATGATACAGATAGAGGGAGATATATGAAGAGAATGAGAGGAGAGGTACCGGGAGAACGTGAAAGTGTGAAACGGAGAGTAAAGTCAGAGAGCAAAACGGAAAGAGGTGAGCAAGGGAAAGCGACAACCAGTGTGGGAGGAGGATTAGGGAGAGGCAAGAGAGATTGAGATGGGAAAGAGAGAGGTGGGAATGAGGAGCACAAGGGTGAGAGGTGAGAGAAACAGGGGGGAGAGAAGTGCGTGAGATACAGTGGAAGGGGAGGAATATAGAGGACGAGGTAGTAGATTAGGAGGAAGAGGAATAGAGAAAGAGCCAATGCGAGATATGAAGATAAATCAAGATATACAGTACAGAGAAGGCAAGAGAAAGGTGGAGAGACAGGGTTCTATAAAAGATGTAATGTTTTCTTGGCTGGCTGTGATGGACAGACGGTTAGATCAAAAGGATGTCCAAGTTGCTAGTTGGTATAAAGATCAATGTTACAATTTCAGGAATTACTATACAGTGATTGATAACACAATATATAATTCCAACAACAGTCGTATTTATTCCACCGTGAAAGGGAAATTAAATACCAGCCTCCGGCGTCAAAATGAACCATAGGATATATCTTGCAGCATGCCGAGTGATCAGCAAAGTATCTTAAAATTAATTCCCTAAAATTTGTTTCTGAGCCAATGTGTCTGCCAATGCACACAAATAAACACTAAAATGCATCTGTAAATAAACTAGTGTTCTCCATAAATGATTCCTTTCAAAATAGAACAATCCAATATAACAAATCTAGATACTCACATCTCTGCTTGAGTTTTTTGTAGACAAAGAAAATGACCACAGCAATTACGAGCAAAGCCACCGCAGCACCAATAAGGATACCATACACCTGAAACACAAGATTAAGAAAAGTTAAATGGTAAACAGCATGCAAACATATCAGAATATTTAATTCTGAATCAGAATGTGTAATTATACTGGAGAAATCCGATGAGCTATGACGCTCGTTTTAACAGATATAACTGTAATTAGATAAATGCTGTAGTATGTCACCAGGAAATGTCCCATGTTTCAGTTCCAAGTATGCCTGCAAACTAATGTCATTTTAATTCGTAGATGCTGAGCTTATATTATACATATTTCTGTATATTTAATTGTAGGTTAAATCTCATTTCAAGAAACTGTACACAAAACCAGTCCTTTCAATATACTGTACATGAAACCAGCCAACATTATTTGTAACAAAGGTGTTCTTTCCAGAAAGGATGTGGTAAACTGACAGTTGAATGACACAATAGTCAAGCAGACACCTCTTAACCAATCCTGTTCCATATAACAGAAACCAAGGCATCACACAATACAGTAAATGGTGAAAATGAAGGAGTGTACACTACTGCTTACCATAGTGATCTGTAATTGTTCTTCCATAAACATGAGAATTCGCAATGTGGTGGCTGGGCTGTTGGCAGAGAGGTCTAGCTGTGAAATAGAGGTTGATATGAACATATTTTAAGTGTCCTTATATTATCCATTTGAAAAGTATAAAACAACAATATGTAATTTGTCCATTGATTCTTCCTTATTGCATCTTCAGAACCCTCCTACTGAGCCTTCAAACTTATCCTGTCCACCACTTTCAATGGCCTTGCACCACTGAACCCATTTTTTCTGATGTCCTTCTTCTGCCCTTGGTACACCCTTGCCCTTTGTAATGTAAAAATTGCTGGTTTAATGTTGAAGTGAAAACATGTGGTTTTGAAGTCTGCTTGCATATACAGAAGACCCACATAAAATCTTACCAATCAGAACCAGCATATAATCAATTCCATTCTACCCTGATAAAAGGTGCAAATAACCTATCATATATAACACTGTCAATTCCCTCTTTAAAAAAACGAGCAAATTCATTAACACAATCTGTTGACCAATCATTATAACTCACACAATTTGTAGCAATGTTCCTCCATAAGGTTTGTTTTGGGATAGATCGCATAAATATAAATGGGCCGTTAAACCCGCCACCATCTGATATACATCAGTGTGCTGTACTCGTAACAAATTGGCATGTTCTGTTTCTTCTCTTTACGTAATAAACCTTACGAGCTGGCTGTGTTGGGTGGTAGCAGGTTGAACACCACATTTAAATTTATGCAATCTAACCCAAAAAAAACCCTGTATTATGGATGACATTGGTCGCGAAAGCCTATGTCTTAAACTGAGCAATGTTTCTGTAACAAAATGCAACACGACTTCTTATAGCTCTACTGCCTCACCACCACTTCCATTTGACATCTCCTAACATGACCCCCACAAATGTCTTGACACATCTGAAAATTAGTCCAATCCCTAATGTCCTTTTATTCTAGATGTAACATTTACCAAAAATATTTTTAAATGCTGTTACATTTTAGTGCTCTACAAATAAAAATGCATAACAGGTATTTTTTGGGTTAGATCACGTAAATATAAATGTTTCGTTAAACCCGACACAACCCAACATAGCCAATTAGTAAGGTCGCGTAAAGTAAAGTTTGTCACACATTTACAATCTATATATTTACACAATCTGTAAATGTTGTGGATTTGTTCTCCATAACACCGGTGTGCTGTACTAATAACGAATTGGCATGTTCTGTTTACGTGAGAAACCTTACTAATTGACTGTCTAGTGATGGCGGGTTTAACGACACATTTATATTTACCCGATCTAACCCAAAAGGAACCTACCTGTATTATGGATGATATTGATCGCGAAAGCCTATGTGTTATACTAAATTAAAATGCTTTCGTATTGTCTGTGGTTTAAAAAGAAATACCTGTGAGAATATGTTGAATGCATTTGCTGCACTGGTTAGCTCATCCAGAACCATGGTGGCAGGAAATGGTGATCTGTGTTGTAAAAAAAAGACAGATTTTATCTGATGTTCACAGTTAAGTCAAGCAGCCTATGATAACCCGTGTATAACGCAAATACACTGTATACACAAATGATGGTGATTACAAATGCTAAACTTTGATATTGCACAAAACATGCTTGTTTTATCATTTAAATGTTCTAATGACTCAGGGTACAATATATACAATTTGTTTTGTAGTAGACTTTGAACCCTTTATGGAGAATTTGATGCTAACGGTTAAATATCATTGCTTTGAAGGTCAATGAAAAACTATTCTCTTGGGCCAAAGAATCAGAGAATTATACCAACACAGGGCCACATTACGACGAGCTAAATGTCAATCGTGTCAAGATTGTTTTATAGCTATACTGCCTTGTGCTAGAAGGCAAATATCTCAAACATACATTGTACATTTGTATTACTTCTCTATTACTTGCATCTATAATCAATCTAAACAATGTTTACCTTACACGTTCCCTCATCTCACCTCAAGACCACCATACACAGTACTGCACTCAGGTGCCCAAGTTTTCACAACGAAGCGACGAATCATAAGACTTTATGAAGCATATCCACGGACCATTTAAATCTCAAGAACCATCAACTACATTTCCTCAAACCTCTGCTTCAGCCTGTATACAATCTCACACTCTCAAGCAAAACAAGAATCACGTGAGGCCACAGTGGGCTCAGGTTTCCTGCAAGCTGGTGGAGACGCTTTTTAGAAAACGGTGGGCGGTGGTCATGAACGAAATTGATATAAGTGCAAGCTTCACGGTATGCCACAGTGTCCAGTTGAGTCATGACCCCAATGTGACCTGCCTAGAACAGTTGATGTACATAGCAGATAAAGTCATGATCTCAGAATAAGTCAAGCTAGCGGTGTTTATTTGCAATGAGTGACAGCGATTACGTAAACGACTGTGATCAATTATAAAAATGCAGCTGAGTTAAAACTACCGTTTGAAATGAAAATGTAAGCCTATATTGTGGTCAATTAAGGATATCCTGTATAATGGGAGTAAACTGGTCTAGAATTGTCACAGTAATCGTACTGTTATGGAAACAGATGCGATGCTTCAATGGATCAAACTTACAGATGAATTGGAGTCTAATAATATGTACATTTTGTCTAATATCTTATAATGACCACCCATGACCCCTAGTCTTGGCTTGTCAACAAAAACATTGAATTTCTACCTTTTGCCATGTATTTATTGGCACAGGCGGACCTAACATGATATTGTGCTGACCCACCACAACAGTATCAGTTTTCAGATACAGTATTCCCGTGCCAAGCAGCAAAGCTTCCACGTTCTTAAGACGGGAACCTGTACATCCCAGAGTAAACCCCACTGCTCTCCTTAAAAACCAAACGGATCGTCTCACCAAGCGGTGCTTAATTTAGAGACCATGAGGGAAAAAAATACAATCACCACGGACACACATTTAACAACCTCACGTCCGTCGTATATGTGTGTGTGTCACTGTTAATATCTTACCGGCGTATAGTACAAGTGAAGAGTCAGTGTAAGCGATCTCGCCGCAATGTTTTCTTAACGCGACGTTGATCTGCTGCGTTTAAATAGAACGACCCACGGCTACCCCAAGTCACTGCCAAAACGCACGCGGCACACGGCACACGGCGAACGAACCGAACCACCGCCCCCAAAACAACGGCATCAACAATCGCCGAACGTTTACACGGAGCCGTGTGAGTTACATTAGAGAGAGAGAGACGCGGGAGAGGACGATAACAGTGGATAATTGCGCGAAAGCCGCGGCGTTGTTTGGCCAAAATCGACCACCGCTCTAGAGACTCGCCCCTCTTACCTTAAGGCCCTCTCCGCCTTCTGCCTGTCAACAGCTGCGCGCCGCTGATTGGTCCCCGCCCAAACTCCGCCCCCCGATGACGTCACCCGCCAAGGGGCGGCACGCTCGACCAATCACGAGGGCGGTATTGACCATGGTGGTGATCGTGGTGGGGGTGTGTGTGTGGTGAATCGATTCCGATTGCAGTTAATCGGTGTTCGTGCGATTACATCGTGCGTTGCGGACGTGTCGATTCATCGTCGATTCGCAAATGTAGTGCAGGACGAATGGATTCGATCGGGTCGATTAGTACGGTACGATTAGGAAGTGAATCGTATTTTTCATTTATTGGAGTTCATCAGTGGGTCGCAGTTTGGGAACAGCGCTGTTACTGCTTCAGTTGTTGGTTGTTCTCTCGTGTTCATTGTGAACATGTTAAACAAAATATGTTAAACAAAATAGGCAACGGGTCTGTTTCACCACAAGAAATATGACATCGAGGTCAATCAAGGTGGCCCTTCGGAATCATATTTATTTATACTGGAGGAATCCGATGAGCTATAAAGCTTTTTTTCATAGGTGTCCAGTTGGGGCTGGTCAGGACGTTACAACAATAAACAATACGATATGAGTGCAAAGTAGAGTGAAAGTTTAATATGTATAGAAATAAAACTAAACTCTTTATCTTACCAGGTAAGGCCCACTGAGCTATTAGCTTTTTAAAAAAAAAAACTTGGCCACAAATGAAAGCTCAACAAAGGGGCCGTCCATAAATGACGTCACGTACCGGGAGGGGGTTAGACATTTGTGACGATGTGTGACGAGGGGGGTTGGATTTGAGAAATGTGACGTCACATCAAAATGTGCAACTTTAAATAAATATAGACAACACGTTCTGCTTAATTAAATAGACTTTTAGATGATGTTTTCTCCTACAACATCAGAGTGCAGAGTGGGGGGGGGGGGGCAGAGCTTTGTGACGTCATATTTGAGGAGGGGGGGGTCTGACTTTTTGTGTGACGAAGGGGGGGGGTCAAAAATCGTACAAAATAGCGTGACGTCATTTATGGACGGCCCCAAATAAACAGCAGTCGTCAGGGTAGGGATCGAACCCACGCATACCAGGCGAGGTAGTTAACATCTCGCCACGGTGGCTCATGTCACAACCTACTGCTGAATGAGAGCCTGTCCACGGCCTGGCGAGTCGTGTGAGCTTGTGTGATCATATCCCACCACCACGCTGATCAGTAAGCCAGTATCTGCAGGCGGAGAACATAGCAGCACAGTAGTTCAAAGAACACATTCCTGCGGAGGGAGCTGCTGGTAGGAACGTTGGGTTGCTCGGTCAATGGCCAGGGTCAACGGCGGCGTGGTGTATTCCGCAAATATGCCCGACTGTGAAGCCGGCGTGAGTAGGTGAAACGTTGAGTTTTATAAGGGCACCACAGGGTGATCAGCCCCACCCAGCCCCTCCCCATCCTCCCCACCCAGCCCCTCCCCATCCTCCCCACCCAGCCCCTCCCCACCCTCCCCACCCAGCCCCTCCCACCCCCCACCCAGCCCCTCCCCACCCAGCCCCACCCAGCCCCTCCCCTCCCACCCCCCACCCAGCCCCTCCCCACCCAGCCCCACCCTCCCCACCCAGCCCCTCCCCACCGAGCCCCACCCTCCCCTCCCCACCCAGCCCCTCCCTGCACGACGGACACAATAATCCCCTGTAGGCTGGTGTAACCAAGAGGTTTCCCTACCAGTAATGTGGAATGTGCTGCACTGCCCTCTGCTGTCAGGCGTTAACATTCCATTCGTGACTCATTGAATGTGTGACGATGGGAAGTGATTCATATCCTGACTAATTTGTTTAAAGTTACGTAAAACTCTATTGTAGTGGTTCTGAACTGTCACTGCTGCCTGTCACTAAATGTATTAATAAATACATAGGTTTGATGAAACTAAGTAGTTGTACTTAGGGGCCGTCCATAAATGATGTCACGCACCTAGGGGGGGGGGGGGTCAGACATTTGTGACGATGTGTGACGATGGTGCAAATGTGCCCCCCAAAGAAAATGTATGTTAAACTTCTTTCGCACCGTACGTAGCCAACCGTGCTAATCAGAGGTAGCATGCAGTTAAATACCGTCGTGTGGATAGCTTTGATATTGCAGGAATGAAGCATTTGACGTGATGAATGTCATTGCAAACATTTACGTATAAAGTACCTTAACCCATGAAAACATTTTACCCACGAATATATTTCGATATATTTCAAGAGGTTAATGCGTGTTAAGTTCATAAACATAATTTGTTTCCAGATAATCAGTATCCAAAATATATTACAGGACTTCAGATCAGCATGTCCAATTCGATAGTAAGATTCGGCAGCATAACCACAATCAACTATCTCCAGTTTCATCTTCAAGGTTATTTCGGTAAAGTCACGTAGAAGGTAAATAATACAATAATAAAAATAAAACATAATAAAATAATTATCTAAAACAAAATAAAATAATTATTTGTATTTTTTTTATTTTATTATTTCCCTTCTACGTGACTTTACCGAAAGAACCAAGAAGATGAATCCCTGCAGTCACGAAAGCTTTAAATCGAAATATCTCCAGTTTCTGAAAATTTATACTGAAGAAATCTGGTGAGCGATAAAGCTTTTTGTAACAGACGTCATCGGTTGTCAACCGCACCCTTAATGAATGTGTTGAGCAAGTTCTCTGCAACAGTGGTTCCCAACACTTCTGAACCCACCGTTAACTGTCAACATTCGTTTGCAGGCTGCTATGCCCCAATAACTTTGTGCTTAATTTAACTACGACTTCCCACGACCTAGCTGACCACAGGTCGAAAACCACTACCCTACATTATAAATAGAACTGCTGCTATGCAGAGAAAATGAACTCCAGACTTGAACCTTCTGCACCTGCATGTCAGAAATTACCTGAGACGTGGTTTTATTAAAAGTTTGCATCTTTCTAAGCAATAGGTTTGAAACAAATATTTAACTTCTTTGGAGTCTGAATTGTATATATACAGTAGTACACATTACATTATCACCATACAATCTATGTATGTGGGATCGATCAATACATTTTGCTGGAAAGGAGGATGGCTTCTGGATGAGACCGGTGTTGGAATGACAACCAAAGGAGGTAATGTCATGAGGATGACTACCGTAGGAGACGGTGAGATAATATCAGCTTATGTGCAGGAACTATATGGATAATGGCATAGCAATACCATTAGAGATGGTGGCATCATGGATAGACAATGGATCATGTTCATTACAATATCAACATCATCATATAAAGGCATCTTATACATTCCACAAGACATAGAACACAATACAACATACCAATGTTAGTTGTACTTAATCCTCTGTTACTGGGGAGCGCTGCATACACAAACAAGGATGTTACACATGCCGTCAAAAACTATACTTGACTGCATTTGGGATCTTTGAGCAATCAATTTGATCCGAAACATGGAAAACACAAGTGCACAAACATTAACTTGTGATTAAAAAACACAATATAATTACAAACTCCTCTTCAACTTCTGCTCTGAAGCATTTTGGAAACTGATGGATTGCAAAAGCCTGTGCAGTAGTCTTAATGTTGTAAAAATAACACAAACAAAAAGCTGCTTACTTTAAACAGTCATCTCAGATTTCCATTTCCATGCCAAATAAATTTTAAGCTGCCGTGGTGTACTCGTTAGAACACTAGACTTGCAATCCAAAGGTTGCAGGTTCAACTCCATGTCCAAGCGCATAAATTAGAAAGACAAATTTCATAATTCCCCAGTTTCTGTCCACCCAGCAGTATAATTTGCAGGTCACGTATGGTGAATGGGGTCGGCCCACCTCTGGTCAAATGGAATAAATCAAATACTCATTTTCTCTGTTGCAAGCCCTTCTGTCAACGGTGACATGAACAAGCATTTGTAGGGCCACAGCTTAGCATTCCTTGATGGTATATTTAATCCAATGTGAAATTGGAATACTTAAAACGCAGGATGACTGACAAATGTTTCAAGAGTGGCATTTGAATGTATCCTTACACTTCCCGATTAGGTTGCCACCTTATTCAAAGTGGTCTCTTTTACGGACACTTTTTCCAGCGTTCCTTTAACTTCTGGAAACGCATCTGTTAGTCCTTTCATGATCCTCTGTAGCCTATAACGTTGCTTTAATTATAAAAAATTATTATTGCAAACTCAAACATCTTTACGTTCAGAGCAATTTTTTAGTTTTGGAACTGAAAAGTCACATGGTACAAGATGTTGATGGTGGGGGGGGGGGGGGGGTACTGGAACGGCAGAAAGCGTGGCGTGTTCCTGCCATTATGCTGCAATATCAATGTTTTTTTTGGGCGTCAACTCTATCTCATAGACAGGCAGAACGTCTCCTTCGCGAACCATTGGGAGAAATGCATGGTGACGAGTGTTTTATGATTAAACCAGTCAGCATATTCACAGGTTTGGCCTCGGTCAATTTAGTGTTTTACACTGGCAGCTTTTGCTTCGTGACTGGGATTATGTATACACTTCTATTCCATTGCGTTATGATTTTCTCAGGAAAAATTGGATAATTCTCAGCATCTGCATGAAAATCCTGGCATACAGATAATTATCCTCTGCTGCGGAGGCCTGCCACACACCAGTATGAGCTGATGTGATCTCTCCATTACCTGTAGATCGCTACCATTGCAATTGGAGTAAAACGTGCAAGGTCTATCCTCAGGATATTCCAATAGGAAAACTATTCTTGGAACTTTATAATCAAACCTTGTACAGCATTTTCCCTGGACTGTTCAGCAGCATGTATTTCACAGCGGCCCTTTCTACAATGCCACAAAGACAAATAAAAACACACATTTCATAAATCAGTTTATTTAGATATAAAACGTTGAATTCTAGCTAAAAAAAAGTGTGTAAAACTGGCGAACAAAGATAAGGGAAAAACAGTGTTTGTCTAGCAGCATGTCCAAATTATAGATATGCTAACATTCTTTGGTCAAATAAAGACAAAGGTATTTACAGAGAAATATATACAGCGATATACAATGTGCACATATTAGCGATTTGTTTCGGATTACAGTTTTTTGGATTTCAAAGCACAAATTCGAATGTCCTTGGAAACTCAAATCAACTATAGCAGGGGTCCCCAACCCCTGGGCCGTGGACCGGTACCGGTCCGTGGCCTGTTTGGAACCAGGTCGCACAGCAGCAGGTGATAGGTGAGTCCGCACATGGCCCGCCCCCATTGTTTTATTTACCACTTCCGTCCGCACCTTTTTCCCGCACTGCTGCACTTGTCTTAGTCACAGTTTTGGTAAGCCCACAAGCGAACCCGAGCCAAAATGAGTAAAAAACAAACGTCGCTGAAGAGCTTCTTTGAAAAGGGGGAAAGACCCAATGATAAACCGCCCCCCCCCACCCCCGGTCCGTGAAAAAATTGTCTTTCATGAAACCAGTCCCTGCTGCCAAAAAGGTTGGGGACCGCTGAGTTAAAATATGTACCAAATTAATGTCTTTGTCCTATTGATAGTGACATCAATCAATGCCACTTCACATCACCTTTGGTGTGAAAAAAAAATCACAAAAGGCATGTACCCTTGTCAGATCCAAAATTTAGCATCCCGGCTCAATTTTCTGATTTTCAGATTCTGAAAATCAGGAACAAATCACAAGTACTGAATTTTATAATACTTTTTGAATGGGGAATTCGTGATCAAATTAGTTATCAGACAAAATGCTGGTAACAAGTGACAAAGCATGATTTAAAACTCCTGCACGACACCATCGACCAACCCGTTCATTAAATTACTGAGAATGACTGCATTGAACATTTTATTGAATCCTGATATAAATTACTGACACACCTAAATAGATAGGCTTTGTAAGTAATTCCCTTTTTACTCACAGACGTTTTGTTGCAAAAAAAAACAAGCCGTATGCATCCAAATTCCAGTGCCTTATGCTAAAAACTCCATGAGGAAAAGTCAATTTATATAAAAAGTTGCCAATGTGAAGCCAATTAACATTACAAGACCCACACGACAGATTGGCTTTTAGTCAGTAAACTTGACGTCACAATTCTGATAGTCCGGTAAGAAATGGGCATTTCATCAAAAAACGTAAAAGAACCAATAAAGAGACAGCACAATTGTTGCTGCATCTAATAAGACGTCTTCTTTCAGTAGATCCGAGCACAATCTCTGAGCACACGTGGGCTGCCGTTACAATGCATACATTCACACCTCATCACTTTGGTCCTCCTCTGGCAGTGGCGGACCACCCTCTTCACCTGGCCTCGGCAAATGGCCTGGCTCACAACCCCTCGGCCACACCTTAGAAATGCTCATGTAGCTACCAAGGCCTGTCGTGGTACTCGGAGGTGACTTTTTCCCACAGCTATCCGTCGAAGCAGCATTAAGAGCGACATTCTTAGGCTGATAAATCATTCCAAACTCATCAGATTCCACTGGTTTTCTAATTTCAGGAGATGTTCTAAGATTCATTTTTTGAAATTCTCTCAAAGGAACAGATTGACTTGACAAAGATTGAGGCATACAGTCATTGTTGGGGCCAGCAGGATCGATTGATGAGCTGGGAAGTTGTGGAGATTCTGCACCTAGATTGCTTTGTAAACCAGGTTGTATTCTGTGCAGCATATCAGCATTGGGGGATTTTAATGGCTGTACTGAAGCCATCGACTCAGCAGTTGGAGAGCTTCTTCCGTGTGTTGAGGTGGTGTGCATATGTGGGTTGCTGTAGTACGACGGTTGGTCTGACGCACCACCTGGCCTGGAAGTTATATTCGAAATCTGGAACGAAAAGTGTGTGCTATGGGTACAATGTTTGTCACAATCGTGCAAATGCTGCTGCGGAGGACTTTTAACAACGCACTGTGGAGAGTGCCTTAAGGCGTCTGGGGACAACCCAGTCAAGTTGTCCGGAACGCTGAGGCTGTGTTGGTAAGAGCTGCTTCCAGAGCATGATGACCCCAGTGAAGTATCACTTTTCTCACTCTCAGGATGCACTGTTCGGAAACAGCTGGGGCTGCTGAAGGAGCGGTCTAATGCGTTGGCTGTTGAGGATAAAGAACAACCATTGGCACCAGAAAGGAGTCCATTTCCAACGGAGAGCATTGAGAAGCACATGGAAAAGAAAATAGCCAGTATTAGCCATATGCAGAATAACATTTACTGAACACAAATTGTTTCAAGTTCATTTGGTATTGCACAAAAAAATGTTCCTTTCCAAAGAATTTGCATTTATATTATTTTTCTTAAAATAATAATTTAACACACATATGAAAGAGACATGTAAATCTGCACGATATATTTTGGTAACAAATATTTAAATTAAATAATAATTCCTCTTGCAAAATTTATATAAATTCTTAGACGAAACATTTAAACACACTGATGTTGACAAGAGGAATGTGCAATATACCCATGGTGGTTGGCTCTCTGGGACGCAAATTTAAAGTCTCAGACTACAGTAATACACCGGTTCACGTCGGGGATGCGTTCCTGAAAGTTGCGACGACGAATATCGAAACGATGTAAATTACAGCAATTTTCACACGAGCGCTAAACCCAGACAACAGAGGGTACACGGTGATGCGGTGTGTTTATGGGCGCACCTTCATCCCAGACATATCCACAACGTTACATAAAATTACTAAAAATACAGGACTCAACACGAGTGTACAGCGGTTAACTTTGACACAAAAGATACAGTACGGTATAAAAAATCACCAAAATACTTACAGAAATAATATATTGTACGTGACAGTATTGTAACATTTCTTTAGTCGTCCGTGTACACAGTAGGTAGAGGCGAAGATGGAGAGGCGACAAATACGAGAAAGGACGGACGATGCTGTCAGCAACGTACGTGTGAGGTGGAGGCGACACAAAATCAGGCAGTGGTATCAATAAAGCGACGACTAATTTGCCAATCGATGCAACCTTTTAGGGGAGATGTAAATCGGGGCTCTACTGTACTTACACACATGAAAACGTGTAACCCACGTTGTTATTTGGTAACATGAAGCTATAAAGATCTGTCTGGTTCCACATCCAAAGTTAACCACTTCCAACACCACTAACCTGGGTTCTGTGCAGTCCTGGTGAGCCTAAGCCGTTTCCACTCATTGTTCAGCCGGTCCACGATGTGCTTCTGCGTGCCCTCGTGTTGAAGCGAGCTGAGCAGGCCATCCAACCCGAACGGATGCAGCTCTAGGAACTCGATGAGTCGCTCGGCCTGCCGTCGGCGCGTCGACTGGTACGAGATTTCCTCCGTATCGCTGCGGCTCAGCACTTTGCGTGCACGCAGAAAGGCGAAGTGTCTGTCGGCCTGAATCCGCTCGGTCAAGTAATCCAAGAGATTGGTCAACACCTGGAGGCAGAGTTGAAATGAATGTCAGGTGGGTGTAACCTCATGGCAAGTGCAAGGTATAGAGGCGTGGCATATCACAGTTAAATTATTTCAGTCTATTACAGCAATAATGCAAACATCAGAACCACTATAGCAGTCCTATACTGCAATACTAATTATTACAGTACTACAGTTTACTAGAAAAAACATTACTTAATTGTGCACTGCAGAAATTGCTGGAAAGTAGAAGATGTATATACTGTAATGCTTGCCGAGACTACACAAATACAATTATATCATGTGCAGGAGCGATACTGATGATATCACAAGACAAGAGGGATAGTGGACAACCTGAAGCCTTCATCCAACAGTGGACAAATAGGTGCTCATGATAATAAAGGTGGCTTGTGCATCTCGTACATACGTATTATTGCGACCGATGTAAATTGTAATTATGTCTAGAATGTCACACATATTTAAGTTTGTCAGATGTTTATAACTCCAAAAAAAAAAAAGAAAAACGGGCACCAAAACTCAGAGGGCAGACATCGATTGGAATTACTCATAGGGTGGGGTCAGCCTCAAGTTCTACGTTGGGACAAGTCTTGTGCTAAACAGATTATATACCATTTTTTTTTTCTCATGAAGTATACAGGAGCGATCTGCCAATTTTTTGTCGTGGTTTGTTGCCATGTTAATCCAAATCAAACAATTTGCGGGTAATTTTTCAGCATTGGGATGTTTGGTAAGTATCAGTTACAAATTGTTTTTTTTATTAACTTTGGCAGAAAACCGCAGAACCTACAGGAAAGACATGCAGAGCATAGAGAGAAGAAACTCGCACAACAAGCGTTGTTACCCACTGCGCCACCCTGCTCCCCCCATTCAGAAGCAATATTTGTTACATCGTAAACATTATCTGCGAACCAAGTGAATTCACCTGTAGTGGACTATGATGCAATAGCCGAGTGGGCAAAGGCCACCCCACGGACCAGTTACTAATTATTTGACACTCCGATTAAGTAAACTGTGGTTGTGTTTCAGTTGATAATTTTTTTAAGTTCCATTATAGATTACACACAGCAATTAATTATAGAATTCGATGCTGTGTTGGCAGTGGTGTGCAATAAACCAAATAAAAAAGGAATTCGTCAATAACACTGCCTTAAAACATATATATAATACATGATGCTTTGGGCAATAACTCCTCTTCATATCACAGAAAAGGCCAGAGAGATGGATAATAAGGTCAAACAGAGTAGATAAAAGTTGAAGTACAGAATTGTACTTTGCACCAATTACTGTAATAATTGGGTCCAGGAATTCATTGCTTAGTGGATTGTGCCATGTGCTCACAAGAAGACATCTTCCCACAATGCAATATTGCTGCAACTTTTCATACGACTTAGTTTATCGAGTAATACTGCTTCGGCCATTGACACGCGTTTTGGCTGTTACCCAAAAGCTGATAATAGGTAACTATTCAGGATAATTACAAAAAACTAGTCATCAAAACAAAAAATGGTGTAAAGTACAGTCTCCGACTATTATTATCCATACTCTTTGGTTCTTTCGGTAAAGTCACTATCTCTCTGGCCCACGTGTTATTCATTACCCCAAAACGTGCAAAAAAAGTTGTACTGTATTTAAAAGCAGTACCATTATTGCTCATTCCCTCCCCTCGCCCCATACACTTCATCCCGTCACTCCCCCACACTAATCCTTTCGTGACACCTACATGCCCTTTGTTGTCACTCATTCCTAGGTTCTTGCAAATAAAGTCACTCTCTTTTGTCGCCGCTTTGTAAACTATGGACAGCGCCTTGAGCTGAGGAGCTCTATAATTATGAATAAGACACGATGTTGAGCGTTTACAAAAAGTAAATGGCTTTGTATGCCATTCATCTGACCAACTACCTTGCACTCATTTTCAATCAACCCAGCTCAAGGATCATTAATAAGCCTAGAAAGTGTACAGTGTAGGCAAATACCGGCTTGTGACTGCAGAATTAAGAGTTGAAGTACAGTACGTACAGTACGAAAGTTGGTGCGCGAGTTTTTAGTAGTGCGCTTCAATGTCAAAGGTCATGTCTTAAACGTAGTTGACTCGGTAAAGCCTTAACGTAATAAGGTATTACGTATGCATATTGAACTTCCTTCACGCCGTACGCAGCCAAATGTTGCTAACCGGAGGTGAGGAGGAACGATAACAAACTAAACAAAAAGCAGTTCTAAGGTTCGTTTTCAATCGAGGTTCAACATTCGTATGACGATACAGCGGTGGCACACAGCCTGAAATCCAACTCCGTGGAGACAAGAGTTGGTGGTTCACACAAACATCCGAAAATCCCTTCCCGTGGCTCTTGAGATTATCACACCTTAGATTATTATTTTTTTGCCGTAGTAACCAGACCTCCATCGAAAATGAGCATTTATTGCCCAATGGGTTTTACCTGTGCTAAAATAAAGTCTTGCCAGAAGGCACAGTGTAAAACAACACGTTTGGACTAATGTCCAACTCTATCGGATAAGAAAATTTCTCCTTCGCATGCATGGTCGCATTAATTCTAGATTTGAAGCTTTCGTGACTGCAAGGATTCATATTCTTAGGTTTTTTCGGTAAAGTCACGTAGGTAAAACATCGAAATTAATGAAAATAAAAGAAAAAGAAAAATCACGACGTTTCGGAGGCAACACAAGTCTCCGTCATCAGGCGGGACCGTCACAGCCGGATTAGCTGCATCAAGTGAGGCAATGATTCAAGATGTAATCCCTTAAAAGCAAGTTGAGGGGGGAGGAGAGGAGGGGGGGAGCTCATCAGAATGTGGTTTTTTTATTATTTTTATTTTATTTTCATTAATTTTGATGTTTTACCTACGTGACTTTACCGAAAAAACCTAAGAATATGCATGGTCGCATGTTTTCTCCGATTATTTCCGTTTCCTCCGTGACATAACACTAATGAATTGGCCGATCACACCTGAACATACACAAGCGCAAATGTTGATAGTGGGAGGGAAATTGGCTCCAGCTCAACATCTGGCTGCTGCCTTCCAGTTGGGGAGTCGCTCACGTTTACAAGTTTAAAGTATTACACTCCACTATAGTACTGTAACGCAAACTGGGTGAGCCAACAGGAGTAATAATGTACACACATTAAACCCACTTTGCCTACGCTACAGCTCGAGGAATGTGAACATTGTAGGCAGGGCCCCATTCAGATTTTGTAGACCCCTGGGCTACACGTACTGTGAGGGCCCCAGTAATGTTTTCAAAAGGAAAACAAAGTTTAAAAAAATACAATTTACTTTTACAAGGCTAACAACAAATAAAATCCAGCATTCACAAATGAAACAACTTTTCACTTCATCTCTGGTGGCCTCTGGGCTTGCAGTCCCTAAAGCCCATGGACTTAATCCGGCCCTGGCTGTAGGTTAAACCACCTTAGATGAACACCTTAGCACTGTGATGAACACCTTAGAACAGCGGTCGGGAACCTATGGCTCGCGAGCCATATATGGCTCTTCCAGTGACGGCATATGGCTCCCAGACAATTTTTGAGTTGAAAAAAAAAATCAGTTTGGAACTGATTTTAAAATACTTGTGATATTTGCTTAATAATACCGTGTCATTTTAAAGTAAACAGAAATTAGTTTTGAAGATAAATTGCACGGGTCACGCCTGCATGAAGCTCAACCAGACTACAAGGCCATCAGCAACACCATGTAGCACCAGAAGTCGAATTAAAAGCAAGACATATTTAATTTATTATACGTTAAAATACTATATGGCTCTCAATGAAATATATTTAGAAATATTTGGCTTTTATGGCTCTCCCAGTCAAAAAGGTTCCCGACCCCTGCCTTAGAACCATGATGAACACCTGAGAACCGTGATAATATTTGACTATACTTCACCACACGCAGGGTCCGTCAGAGCAGACTTAAGGATGTTTTGCCCCACTGCCATCTGCCCACCACGGAGTGTGGCGATACTACAGTACAACATTATTCTAATTTTCTTGCTGTGGATTTCACACCTGATGATGATTGCTTGTGTTGCAGTCGAAACGTCGTGAGAATTTTTATTTTTTATATTTATATTATTGTATCATTTCCCTTCTACGTGACTTTACCGAAATAACCAAGAATATATATTATTACTGTACTCTATTAAAATTATAAGGTCGCACTCATTACAAAGTGCTTGCCACAAATGAACCACGATACCTTGCTGATCTCGTAAATGAGAGCCACAAGACATCATCATCACGCCAACAGCAACATCGGCAGCAGCGGGCTTCTAAGGCTAATACTCTTAGGTTCTTTCGGTAAAGTCACGTACATAAGAGTATGAATCCTGGCAGTCACGAAAGCTTCAAATCTAGAATTCTCTGGCTAAGCCATCGCACAAAGGCGGTGGTCACCGCAGCAGCAGTAACATCGCTCGCCCTCTCAGATGCGCAGATTCTGCGGTGGCCGTCTGGAACGCTCCTTTACTCCCGACATTAGGAAGACGCTGGTAGCGATGCAACTTTTAAGTCATCTCGATTGAACACTCATTGGCTTTAGAACTGTTTGTGTTGTGTGTGTGTGTTTAGTTTGTTGTCCTTTACAACATCATCTCCGATTAGCGCGGTTGGCTACGTACGGCGCGAAGGAAGTTTAACATGCACACACAGTACGGTAAGAGTTAGAGAGCCTAGTTAGTGACCCCCAACAAGATCAGCACACAAAGTACGGTAAGAGTTAGCGAGCCTAGTTAGTGACCCCCCAACATACACACACAGTACTGTAAGAGTTAGAGAGCCTAGTTAGTGACCCCCCAACATACACAAAGTACGGTAAGAGTTAGTGATGCTAGCTAGTTAGTGACCCCCCAACATGCACAAAGTACGGTAAGAGTTAGTGATGCTAGCTAGTGACCCCAACAAGATTAGCACACAAAGTACGGTAAGAGTTAGTGATGCTAGTGAGTTAGTGACCCCAACAAGATTAGCACACAAAGTACGGTAAAAGTTAGCGATGCTAGTTAGTGACCCCAACAAGATTAGCACACAAAGTACGGTAAGAGTTAGCGAAGCTAGTGAGTTAGTGACCCCAACATGAACACAAAGTACGGTAAGAGTTAGCGAAGCTAGTGAGTTAGTGACCCCAACATACACACACAGTACGGTAAGAGTTAGTGATGCTAGTGAGTTAGTGACCCCTAACATACACACAAAGTACGGTAAGAGTTAGTGATGCTAGTGAGTTAGTGACCCCTAACATACACACAAAGTACGGTAAGAGTTAGTGATGCTAGTGAGTTAGTGACCCCTAACATACACACAAAGTACGGTAAGAGTTAGTGATGCTAGTGAGTTAGTGACCCCTAACATACACACAAAGTACGGTAAGAGTTAGTGATGCTAGCTAGTTAGTGACCCCCCAACATGCACAAAGTACGGTAAGAGTTAGTGATGCTAGTTAGTTAGTGACCCCTAACATACACACAAAGTACGGTAAGAGTTAGCGATGCTAGTGAGTTAGTGACCCCCCAACATGCACACACAGTACGGTAAGAGTTAGTGATGCTAGTTAGTTAGTGACCCCTAACATACACACAAAGTACGGTAAGAGTTAGTGATGCTAGTGAGTTAGTGACCCCCCAACATGCACACACAGTACGGTAAGAGTTAGTGATGCTAGTGAGTTAGTGACCCCCAACATGCACACAAAGTACTGTAAGAGTTAGCGATACTAGCGAGTTAATGACCCCAACATGCACACAAAGTACTGTAAGAGTTAGCGATGCTAGCGAGTTAATGACCCCAACATGCACACAAAGTACTGTAAGAGTTAGCTAAGCTAGCGAGTTAGTGACCCCCAACATGCACACACAGTACGGTAAGAGTTAGAGAGCCTAGTTAGTAACCCCCAACATGCAAAGTACGGTAAGAGTTAGCGATTATAGTGAGTTACACCCCTCCCCCCACAACATGTTCTGCCTGTACCACCATCTCCACCGTAGTGTGTTGACCGACACACACAACACACACAGCTACCGAGTCTGTGTTACCTCTCGTTTAATGTCCTGCTCAACTTCTTCGCCGAGTGGCATGGTCGTCGTCTTGTTGCTGGTGTTGCTGCTGTCGTTGTTGTCACGAGTGGTCATCACCGTCCCCACCAGATCGTCCATACACCACCCCCAGAGAGAGAGAGAGAAAGGCGGCTCCCGTCCAAAAGAAGAGAGAGAAACCCAGGGCTGGGGGCCCCAAGCAAAGACCACCTGCTCCTTCAACTTCGACGATTCGATGCGACTAAGTAATTGTTGTTCGTTGTTTGGTTATTTTTGTTGTGTTTTGTTTTGTAATTCACGAAGAGCGCGAACCACACAAAGTGCTGCCGCCGGCCACCTCCTCGACTCGTGATAAGAAGAAGAAAACCAAAAAGAAACGAGGAAGCTGAACACCCCCATCGGCACCGGAATTATTTATGTTAATCACCGACCAATCAGAGCTCACGCAGGGCGCGTGAGCTAATGAATATTCATGAGCTCACAAATTGAACACGGGAATAAATTATGTTAATCGCCGACCAATCAGATTTCACGCAGGGCGCGTGAGCTCATGAATATTCATGAGCTCACAAATTGAACACGGGAATAAATTATGTTAATCGCCGACCAATCGGATCTCACGCAGGCGCGTGAGCTCATGAATATTCATGAGGTCAGAAATTGAACACGGAAATAAATTATGTTAATCGTCGACCAATCGGATCTCACGCAGGCGCGTGAGCTCATGAATATTCATGAGGTCAGAAATTGAACACGGGAATAAATTATGTTAATCGCCGACCAATCCGATCTCACGCAGGGCGCGGGAGCTCATGAATATTCATGAGCTCACAATTGAACACGGGAATAAATTATGTTAATCGCCGACCAATCGGATCTCGCGCAGGCGCGGGAGCTCATGAATATTCATGAGCTCACAAATTGAACACGGGAATAAATTATGTTAATCGCCGACCAATCAGATCTCACGCAGGCGCGGGAGCTCATGAATATTCATGAGGTCACAAATTGAACACGGGAATAAATTATGTTAAACGACGACCAATCAGATCTCACACAGGCGCGGGAGCTCATTAATATTCATGACCTCACAAATTCAAGACGGGAATAATTTATGCTAATCGTCGACCAATCGGAGGATCTCAAATCCCATTTGCTCCGAGGGGTTCCGATTTCGAAGCGCGCCACCTCATGAATATTAATTAGGCGAGCGAATTGAAAAATTCAAACGCCTTTCGATGACCCCAAATTGCTTATTGTTCACCCGTTAACAATCAAAACAACTACAAAAATCCACATCCTTGTCCAGTTTTTCCCAAAGTCGTAATTGACCGTGTCTTAGTTTGACCTTTGTTTGCTTGTCGGAATAACATCAGCAGCAGCCATGGTCAGTCCACTGCTGGATGCGATGCAAAAAGAACAATAAAAGAGAATACGATGTCATGTACATTCTCATTCTTGGTTGTTTCGGTAAAGTCACGTAGGTAAAAATGAAAAATAATAAAAATAAAATAATAAATAACGACGTTTCTTATTTTATTTCTATTATTATTTCTATTATTTTTATTATATACGTTTAATTATTTACCTACGTGACTTTACCGAAAAAACCTAAGAGTGTGAATCATTGCAGTCACGAGAGCTTCAAATCTAGAAAAAAAACGTGATAATTCTCATTCAGTGAAGGGGAAGTTGCCAACAGGCGCATGGGAAGATTCGTTAATTCTGAAGTCTCGAACAGGGGGGAGGGGGGGGGGGGCTCGCCGTATTTGTGTTTTTTATATCTCAATTCACTTTATTCGCTTCTTAAAATAAAATTTATTCGCTTCTTAAAATCGAATTTATTCGCTTCTTAAAATCATATTTATTCGCTTCTTTAAGCACTTTCAAGTTTTTGCACAGACGCCCCCCCGACCCCCACTTTCATGACGTCACAATGCGTTCCTGGAAACCCCGTCGTAAATAGGACCTTAGTTTTTTCCCCATAGACGCAATGTTGAAACCCCGTCATATGTAGAATCGTCGTAAATAGGACCCGATTTTCACCAAATACGCAATGTTGAAACCCCGTCGTAAATATGATCGTCGTAAATCCGACTTCATTGCCCCACACGCAATTTTGGAAAAACCCCGTCGTAAATCGGACCTTGTCCCATAGTCGCAAAGTTGCCGTTTTGGTGACGACAAAACGTACAAACTGTATTGTTAAATAATAAAGACGAAATTATTATTTTGATTTAAAGCTTTCGTGACTGCAGGGATTCATATTCTTGGTTATTTCGATAAAGTCACGTAGAAGGGAAATAATAAAATAATATGAATATAAAACTATAAAAATTATCACGACGTTTCGACTGCAACACAAGCAATCATCATCAGGTGTGAAATCCACAGCAATAATTATTTTTATTGTTTTATATTTATATTATTTTATTATTTCCCTTCTACGTGACTTTACCGAAAGAACCAAGAATACTAAATTATTCCATAACCTGTTTTGTTTAATTCAGAGTTTGTTTGTCAGCTGCTGTGTACCGAATGTTTGTATACAAGCAGACCCGCATGTGATGAGGCTCTCGAAATAATTTGGTCAAAGACAAAAAAAAGTATCTTCTTCTTGATTTGAAGCTTTCGTGACTGCATGGATCCATACTCTTTGGTTCTTTCGGTAAAGTCACGGAGGTATAAAATAGAATAAAATAAATCACGACGTTGCAGGCACAACACAAGCATGCTTTCCCACCTGATGACGGACGCTTGTGTTGCGCCCGAAACGTCGGATTTAATTTATTCTAATTTATACCTCCGTGGCTTTACCGAAAGAACCAAAGACTATCTCTTCTTCTTTGAAAATGTGCCCTACCTCTGATCGAGACAATGGTGTTGTCGAGAAGTGTATGCACCCCAAAATGATGCTACTACTCCCGCAAGATAATAGTTACCCAGAATATTTACAATCGAATCTTGGGTGGGTGGAGGGGGCAGTGAATTGTTCAGTGCCAATGATTGAATCTCACCGTTACTCGCAGTATCCTCGAAACATGTGGGCAGTGACGTCCGTCCGAGGGAAGTCCCATTTCCTCATCGTTTTGCATACCGGTACCAGTACACTGAATACGAAAATAAAACTACCCCAGCGTCTTGTGTGGGTTATACCACCCGTACAGACGGAATAAACAGGACAAGGTCAGTGACAGTTCAGACTCGCCCTGACCAGCGGTGAAGTTCTGGTCAGAACGAAACCCCATGTTCACACAACTCCAACCTCTTCCAAGTCGTCTGGCCACTGTGGAGGCGAGATTCGAAGCTGTCGTGACTGCAAGGATTCATACTCTTTGGTTTTATCGTGACTTTAACGAAAAAACCAGAGTACAGTGTGGAGGGGTAGGCCAAATGCTCTTCAACAGAATAATACAGATGTCTTGGGAACCCCATTTCTGTAAAACGTAATGTTTTTTTTGGTATACCACCGATTGTGAAAACAGAAACGAATAAGCAAAGGGAACAATTTTTAGGGTAAAATTCACGTAGGTAAAAAATTAAATTAAATCACGTTTCGGAAGCTTGTTTCCTCCCAAACGTCGTGATTTAATTCATTTGAATTTTTTAACTACGTGACTTACCGAAAAAAACAGAGTATGAATCCTTGCAGTCACGAAAACTTCAAATCTAGATTTTTTTTAGGGGTCATTCAATTGGAGGTCACAAGACATCTGGACCATCCTGTAGATTGGCTCTTCAGAGCTCGCTCTAGTGGAGGCTCCTTCCGCCAGCAGTGGCGTTAGAAAGCAATTGTAGGGCTGCACCTTTACCCTACAGAGTACGAGACACAACAGCCTATCCATTTACTGTTGCACTCACGAATGTAATCTCACAGGCTGCTGCCAGCTACATATTGAAAGGGTATGCATGTTGACCGACATGCGCAAGCAAGTTATATTTCTCGTTGGTTGCGAATAGTTATACATTATTCTACATACGAAATGTTCAATGACGAGATAAATAACTGACATTGATTCCGCAGTTTTGCATTCCACTTGATCCTCAGAGCACAAACATAAACTACGTCCTTGTGTTGCATAATTGGAGTAATTAACCCAGAAGCGGTGATTTCGGTATAGGCGGCTAGGATTCTTGTTTAAGTTTTACTCAGACTTGGCACGGATCCCAATCCAATTCCCATTTAAAAGTGGTGACGTGTGCAATGGACTTTACAAAGCCAATTATTGGGATACAATCGTATTGTTTTCAAATGTAACTAAAGTGATTTTCCATCAGGTCAATAGATTCGCAATCCAAGTGTATACAGTACAGCATAGGCATTAGGCAGGTCTGCATATCCGTGCAGAACGGAAGATTACTCGAATTGAACAACGCCCATTTGTGGTTAGAAGCATGGCTACATAAATTCACAAGGCGTGGCTCGTGACTGGATAAACCCACAATGTGTATCCCACATGCGCAACTGACCAAACGAGATTTTTAATCGTTGCATTCAATTATCAGTCACAGGTATTAACAGTTAATTCTAAATCCATTATCCAATCGGTCACACAAATACGCGCAATGTTTTTAAATCCATTATATTACGTTCGCTTGCTTGCTTGCGTGTTTGCTTGCTTGCTTACGACCGTGCAAATCTTTCGGTCGTTTTTTAACCCACTTCCCGTGATCCAATCGAGCTGACATTTTCTACAGACTCGTTGTGCGTGACAATTAATTTTCGTGAAAAAAAAATCCTAAATTTTACACTGTTTAGGGAAAAAATTTAAATATTTAATTACCAATTGCTTAATGCTGGCAGACAATCATCTGACCCATAGGTGGCAGCCATCTCAAGCCAGAGGACGAGAGGCCTCTAGCCGCCACGCATATAAAGGATTTATGGTGAAAAACTTTTGTTTTTACGGGTAAAATTTTTTCTTATTCTGTAAAGTACTCTGCAGGAGGGATATCCAAGCCATTAACTGTTATCAAGACGTGCGAGATATTCCCAGTTGGGACGCTTTGGTTCAATGCACAAGTGAAACGTCAAATTGAAGCGCTCGTGTTGCGGAGTAAACGAGCATCGAACGCGTAACCTATTTCAGTGGAAGCCAACACCTAAACGTAGCCGAAGACCCACCCTTCAAATCAAACAATCAATTTCCCTGAAGGACATGAAACTGAAGTCGGTTTTAGCAGTTGCGGAATGCATTCCAGGTTTTACGCCATGCTGTTCGGCACGATGTCCGACATCGTCACTGCCTGCAAAGAGCTTCTTAAGGAACTGAACATGTCAAACAGTGTCAACACGATGGCATTAACTTTACGTTTGCTCCAAAACGTTGCAATTAATGCTTCTCACGAATATTAATGCACAAAAAGGAAAAAACTTCACAGAAAACATTCCAAATATGTATTACCCTCACGTAAAGGTGTCTCGTCACATAGAAATGATAAACGCTAGACTGCTTTCAAAAAAGTATTGTTGGGTTTACCACAACCTATTAGGTTTCCTATTTTCAGAACATTGCTAATCCCTCATGCCAAGTCACCAGAAGACCATGCAGTAATATCCGTCAACTTTTAATCACAAGAGCAAACCTCATATGCACTCGATTGAAATTTCCACTTTTTAAAGAGTCAAAACAGATATTTTACCTTCTTTATTTTACCGACATTTTAATAAAATCACAGCAGTGAATGTGTTTCAACGGGTCAATGAGCCAACATCCAATACGCACAAAGAAACCACTATGCAAAGCAGGCACCCTTGTTTAAAAACGGCAAGAAACGTTTTACTTACTTTCCCGTTCAATACAAGCACCAGCATTTTGCAAATCACAGGTCATTTATTTACCTCCGTGCAGGCAAAATAAATGCCCAACAGATGCGTTTACGAGCCTTTCAAGTGGCCAGCAGAGGTGCAGATTTCTGCTCAAAAAGTGACACGTGTCAACAAGACATACTTGTTAATTCCCTGACAGTCAAATTCCAGCCAACCAGGCAATGCTTCGATTTAAAGCTTTCGTGACTGCAGGGATTCATCTTCTGAGTTCTTTCGGTAAAGTCATGTAGAAGGGAAGTAATAAAATAATAAAACATAATAAAATCAAATAATTCTCCTTCACCTGAAGACGGCTGCTTGCGTTGTAGCCGAAACGTCGTGAAAATTATTTGATTTTATTGTTTTATTTCTATTATTTTATTACTTCCCTTCTACGTGACTTTACCGAAAGAACCAAGAAGATGAACCAGGCAATGCGTTATGCATGTCCAACTTTCCCTTTTGCCCTTACGCAGCCATCATACCTTACCGATTATGTTTTTACGTCATAATTTTACCCAGAGAAAGTATGCACTGTTTAATGATGGTACACGTATGAAATATCAAACTGCTCAAATCCAGCGATCGATTCTTAAAACTGTTGCTTCTTGCTTCCAGTGGAAATTGTTAACAGATCTGCAAAAGTACCCACGTTTGATGCCATATGCAACATTGTCAATGGCTGCAAATAACAATCAACAACCCAACACCACATACTTTGGCAAACGGTAACGCTGTGAACTTTTAAGTACATTTGCTTAGTGTCAAAAGCCACAATTTGTGTAGCACGAGTGAACCATAATCAGTTTCACTTGGTCACATCTTAATCCAAGTAGGGAATATAAGCCGACTGAAACACTTTCGTCAACTGCACCATTTGTAAATGACGATCCGATTTGACAATAATCAACACTGCAGTAAAAAACCATTACTGCCAAGAAAACCACAACTAGCTTACAACATTCAAAACTGCTCCCAAGTTAAAATAATAAAAAAGGAAGTTGGATGTTCTATCCGCAAGTTACAAATAATTTAAGTGATTTATTCCATTTGAAAATATCAGAATGCAAATTGAAACTTATAAATAACATTTCCCAATAACGCGTATGAAAAAACTGTACTTATTATTTCGGCTTAAAAACCATTGCTTGTTATGTACAATGAAGGTAGCAGTTGTGAAATTGAGGGAATTGCGAATAGTTCAAAACTTTCGCAGTATGGCTGCTGAACAATTCTTAAAATCCTTCATCCAACAGCGCACATTGTGTAGAGGCCACCCAGACGCGCGAACATAAGTAGTGCAGCATTTGTAAATCCAGCGAAAACCTCTTCTCATTAAAAGTAACAGAGTCCAGGAAGGGTGAAGTGGCACGGTGGGCGGGCACCGCTGCCGCCTCCCATCACTCTCCGCAGGCCTTGCTCAACGACGCAAGGAGAAATACGCAGCAGGGGAAGTCACCGCTCGGGCTCCAGCGCCGGGTGACTCGAACGCTTCCGCTCTCGGCATCGCTTCTTGTGCGCCGGCCAGTCGCGCTGCTGGCACTGCGAGCCACAGTAGCGCACGGCTTTGCAGCGCCCGCAGATGTGAAATTCTCGCAGCTACACAGATTACGGAGAAAAGAGCGAGAAGGATACAAATATTTTAGTCGTTTACCTGTTCACAAGCAGAAAGGCATGCACTTTGGAAAACCAGTTTTTAGACAAGGAGAGGCAATAAATACACAAAATTAACTCAAGGGTCCAGGAGGGCAGCAAAATAATAAAATAAATTACACGACTATCTCCAACATCAAGCTATTTCCCTGCCCGAAAACAGCTTAGAACTCACCTGTCTCTCGATTGCAGTACAAGGGGGGTAGTGACACTCGTAGTAGGCCCCACTCTCCTCCTCTCCCTCCGTTACTGCCTCTCCATTGGCGTTGTAGTACCGCAGGACTCCCAGCTCGGGGAAATGCTCCTCAATCGGGTCACTCGGTAGCTGCTGGATGGCCAGCCAATACAAACTCTGCTCCCTGCAGCCCAACAGCAGCACCACACAAGGACATTAACCAATTCAGTGATGAAATTGTTATACATGTTTTCATCAGTTGCTGAGATAAGATAGCAATTTATAGTCTGCGAAAAACATGTTAATTGCAGCTGAAAATCCCAGTCTGCTTAATGTGACTTAAAGAGCAGTGTATAACTACAGATTAGACGGCCTCGATGGAAGGAAGTGGTGGAAGAAGATGAGTACACTGGATGGCAACAGGAGCGGAACAGAATAGAAACAGGAAGAATAAAAATGCAAGCAGCTGACCTACCCCATGCAATAACGAGACTTCTGGTTTAGTAGTAGTGTCGTGGATTCAACCGAGTCACAGATGTACTTCTTAGAAGCAACACATTTATTAACACCAACACATTAACACAAAGGGGTTACTACTGCCCCTTTACCAGATAACCTATGGTGGTGGATCACCAGACTAACTATGCCAGTTACTGGGAGTAGCTACAACCAACAGGACCCTGGCTTGGGTCCTCATCCATGTTGGAGACTTCTTCTTGGATGTTGTACGTAGATCGTACATCTTCAGATGACAACAGCAAAGCTAAGCCCCGATCCCTGTGGGGACCCGGTTTATATGCTCCCGGGTCGTGGCTGGCACCGCCCTTGGCCACGACCACCTTCGAGAAACATCTCGTCGTTTCTCGACCCTTACCGTAGGATCTCACCCTGACACGTGACCACCCCCTAGCCCCCACCTGGGGCCCTTGTGTAGATCTTACTAGTCACGTGCCTTCCAGGGTCAACCAGAGTGCCATAGCCTAGGGTAACCTCATCCCATGGCTGACACTCTCACACTCCCTCCTATAGGAGTCAACACTGCACGCCATTTGTGGTGCCAATGAGCGCTATCCCAGCGCTCACAGAGCCCCCTCTAGGGCTGGTACTACACCCACCTATGGGGTGTCCACGATGACGATGCATCGTACACCGTGTCTCGCTAGAGCTGGCATTGCTCGGTGACATTCACGATGTCGCTACATACGTGATGTCCGCTATGCGAGTACATCGCACGCCGTGCCCCTCTCGGGCCGGCACCACACAGTGACATCCGCAATGTCACTACAGTAGTAATACTATGGACGAACACGAGGTACTTGCCTCTGCTTCCTAGGGATCTCTTCCACGACCGGCTTCATGTTGGTGTGCACCAGCTCCAAGTTGTCCAATCGGTTGTCCACAGTCACTCCATTCTTGTGCACCACCGTGAACCCCGTGGCAATCCCTCCTTGGTGCCGCTCCCTATTGCACACAAGCGCGTCAGTTTCAGCCCGTCGTTCGTTTACGCACTCCACACACATTTGTCATAGCATCTTTCACTTTAAGGTTATAATCTACATGGACACCGCAATGTACTGTAGCAAATGTAGTTGCACTATTTGAATATTTTATCATTTATATTTACGACTATTTCAAAGCTGACATTGTTTCAAATATAAATGGTTTTCATTTTATTACATTTATAGCTATTTATAGGACATTGTGTTATTTTCTGAGATACTAGATTTTCTTTAACTGTACTGTATAAATCTTGACTTAAAGCTTTCGTGACTGCAGGAATTCACACTCTTTAGGTCTTTCGGTAAAGTCATGTAGATAGGAAAAATAATACAAAATCATGATGTTTCAATCGCAACATAAGCTATCGTCTTTAGGTGAAAAAATACAGCAGGTGGACTGCTGAGGCAGGAAGAAATATAGTTCAAATAACATATTGGGAATTACATGTCCAAGTAATAACACTTCTTTGTTAACCAGTGCGTACACCATTAACGTCCTCACCACTGCGAAATATTGACCCTTTAATGTAACCAGTGCATGATTAGTCATTGACAAATCTTACTGTTTCCCACTACTCTTCTCCAAAGGAGGGAAATACAAGCCAAATCATGCACCTGTAAAAAAGGCTAAAGCATAATGCCAGATTACTAATGGTTGCTCAATTTTTTAAGTTGCCAAAATAGCAGAAATAAAATTCAAAACATTCCCGACCACACATTGCAAATCACTAAACTATTTCTCACTCCAAGCATGCACCACCATTTCATTGTTTTCTTTGGTCAATAGGGATTAGTTGGCCCTGGCAATGATCCATGTGGCCCTGTAAAAGTTTACACAAACAGCCTTTAAACAGCCCATGCCACCCACCATCTGCCACTCTGACAAAAGCACAAAGAGCTCGATCTCATTTGTTTAAGCCCGTGCTTTTTGGATATGGGTGTGTGTGTGTGCCAAATGCAAGACTGCAGCTGCGCACATTCCATCTAAAGACTACGTGAGACGGTAAGTTGCAAAAAGGTTATGGCTAAGTTCTCTGTTGTAGTGAACACAGTACCGAATGTAAAACACCACATTACCTACATGATAATGGCATACACATTGTGTACTTTTAATTATACCTTAACGACTGCTGCACAAAGCAGTCTGCTCACACAATAACACGCCAGAGCATTAAAAAAACATCACAATTATGCCTCTTAGCTCTCCTAAGTGTTTTTGCGTTGAACCGACTGTTGTTCAGCATGACGTCCAAAGTTTTATTCCACGTGCTGGGAGCTTCTCTCCAAGCCTGTACTGCTGTCTAGGTTTTCTTTTTAAGAAGGGGCTCCAGGAATGTGCAGCAAAACGTCTGACATCGTGCCGAACACATGGACCAAACCCAAAAACACTTCAGACAGCACAATCCAGTAAAACCTACCGCAGCAGTGTTTTTTAGTATAAAATTCTCATGGGATTTCGCCAAGGTTGCTACATGCCTCGACTCTCATCCCACGGTGATAAGTGATCCTGTGAAAGTGCATTATTGTGAAAGTGAGCTGTAATGTCAGTGGTATAGCACCGTGCTTCGATGACACTCTCAGCTGCTTTAGCCCCAAGCCACAGTAACAGCGACACCCAGTGCTACTCACCACAGCATCTCGTGTAGCCAGCAGCCCGAACTACGACCCTTGTTCAAGTCAAAGACAAAAGCGAAGATTCGTGCCCCGTTCCCATCTGCATCTATCTCCATCTTTGCCTACAGAATACGAACATGAGGTTTGATCAAATAAAATTAATTTACATACTGACAAATACGCACATGCATCGCAAAGAGCGAATTCTGTCATTACAGCAATCAACATCAACACACCATCAACAACATTAATGACGTTTTCTATTAATAGCCATTGACATATTCCACATCTACTACAGCAGGCAACTTAAAATTAGGAACTGTAACCAAGTAATCACTTTTTTTAAATGTGCAATTAATACGTGCAAAAAATTGCAAGCAATATTAATAGCCATTGACATATTCCACATCTACTACAGCAGGCAACTTAAAATTAGGAACTGTAACCAAGTAATTACTTTTTTTAAATGTGCAATTAATACGTGCAAAAAATTGCAAGCAATAATGTACAGCAATAAGATACATATACACAGTATATCCACATGCATTAACCAGAAACTGAAATTTTTGATATTATAACATATATATATAACCCATAATTTACAGGAAAGCCTCACAATTTTAAGACCTTATAGGTTTCCCATATTCGGGAAGATCATCCAATTTCCCTTTTAAATTATGTTTTGCACATTGGAGGAAACCAGGGTAACTGGCGAAACCTGTAATTGGTTCTAACATTCAAATACTGCACAGCTTGGCTCGTGAACCCACTTGCTGTACTAACATTTCGTGATCAATTCAAAGCCCAGCAGGTTTAGGAGATTCACGAATCTGTGCGCTACCAATCCGCAGCCCAAAATGTCCTGGATAACTGGCGCAGGCTGCCAAAGCAGGCTTTGCGTTGATATTAAACATGCACAAATAAAGCAATTGTGTCAATCCACTGTTAGGCGAGGGCCTCTCTACAAGTTCCGTGGAGGATAATTTGACAATTCTTCACTGCGCTGGCCAGTTCAAGTTGGTGAAGTGGGGGGCGATATGTGGGCACATAATGCAGGAAACAATGGATTTCGCTGCCTTGGCGTCTTGCTGCCCACAACTTGGCCTGTGGCAGCCAAAAACAATCTTGATGTTTTCTGGTTGGTCATCTGTCCCAAGTCATATTCAGGCTCATAGTCCAACCTGCTTAGCTCCCAAGAATTGACAGCATCGCGAGCGCTGCTAGTCATGGGTTCAACATTGTGATGTTCCAAAGCTCACCTCAAAAGCGTAGCTCTCGACCAGCGGGATGTCCCTCTCGTCGATGAGAGTGTACTTGGTCTGCGAAGACAAGGGACAACGTGAACACGGCATCGTGTCGCCAACTGTTGCCATCTTTAAAAGGCAACATTCAAAACAATTCGTTCACGTGATTTCATCGATAACAAGTAAACCCGTAAAAACAAAGTTTTTCACTATAAATCATTTATATGCGTGGCATCGGGGCGGCTAGAGTCCTCTCGTCCTCTGGCTTGACATGGCTGCCACCTATGGGTCAGATGATTGTCTGGCAGCATTAAACAATTGGTAATTAAATATTTATTTATTTTTTCCTAAACAGTGTAAAATTTTGGAAAAAAATTTCACAAAAATTAATTGTCACGCACAACGAGTCTGTGTGCAAAATGTCAGCTCGATTGGATTACGGGAAGTGGGTTAGAAGACGACCGAAAGATTTGCACGGTCCTAAGCAAGCAAGCAAGTGAACTTAATATAAAGGATTTAAAAAAGCGGTAACGTTTGACGCACGTTTTGGTGAATGGCCCTCCCCTCCCATGCTGTCATTGGCAAGTCATGCGTCCACGTGTCTGCTCACAAGCTACAAGACCCCTCAATGCTTAACCAGCATTGTAGCAATTCCCCGTCCAGCCAAAGGCTTTTGTCTTCCTCCTCTCTTGCCGTGTCTCTATGTAACGTCTTGATTTACAGATATACTGTATAGTTTGTAATACCTCCTATAAAGCACTGTCGGCTACGTACGGCGCGAAAGAAGTTCAGGCATACGTCTGCATTTCCTCTCCACCCTATGTCACAATACTACTCACCCTCCTGACCACACGAGGGGCTTAATTAATTATACGGCAATGACAATATTGTGATACTCCGGTGACAGTGATGCACAACGCAAATAAAAAGACTGCCCTCAAAGAAAAAATTGCCCAACACATCCAATCAGCAGGGTTGGTGGCTACGTACGGTGCGAAAAAAGCGTAACATATAATTTTATATAGAGTCATTCATGTAATTGCATCCCACAACGCTGCAATATCAATTAGCCAATTCCTTACACAGATCATACAAATACATACAAGTGACGTTTTAGGGAAATGGACCTTGTCATAGCAGAGGACACACGAGGCCAGGAGGAATCTGCATCTCAATTCTCGTACATAATTCTAATTTATTACACCACCGAGAAGATCGTGTGTCGCAATTTAATTTTGCTCGTCCATGTTCTCGAATAAAAAAACCAATACACTACAATCCATGTAAAACCATCACATTCATGATAACATCCCACTCAAGCCCGGTACAATTAATTTAGCTATGTATCTAAACACACGCACGCGACTCAAAATGCGGATACGCAACTTATTATGTCTATCCACCTACATTTAAAATGCGGCCGAGTAACATCCGATCGTGGCGAGACTCATCGGCCTTCTACTAATTAAAGGAGTCTACTCGGAAAGTGACACACCAAGCGCGTGGTACACGTGGTGCACGTGTACGAGTTGCACACGTAAACTTTAAATTCCACCAACTTTCACTTTGCCTCCCGTTAAAACATTGGCGATGCACCGAGCGTTAAGCTATGTTAAGCAACAGACTGCTGCCGAACTGACAGATTTAGACAAGAACAGCACGAAATATAGCGAGTCACACATCGGGTCTCGTATGTACAGCCCCATGCCGACGGCCTAGCTTAGGCTTCCCGGCAAGAGAACCAGGCGAGGCCGGCGTCACTCGCTTCGGGTAAAACACCGGCTCGCAACATCCGCTTTGTTTCTCACATGTGGGCGAGAAGTCCCTACACCCCTTCAAAATTACACGCCCATAGCACGCCTCAACACAAGTGTATAGGGACTTCCCGTCCACCTTGCACATGGCCGACTACACGTGGCCAACGCTTTCGTTTATTTTAAAACGCCTAAACCTGTAGTCACCTCACTAACACATTAACGTACGGGCGTAAGCAACGCAACGTCGCGCCGCGTAATGACAACAACCACGGGCACTCGTTAAAACAACCGCAGAGAATGTGCGAGAATATCAACGCCGGCTTGCATGGGGCCTACACGTGAAGGCTGCACCGCGTGGCGTAACGAAGGAGACGCGCCTCGTACCTTGCCGGCCACTCGTCCCAGCCTCACGATGCCCAGCTTGAAGTCGGACATCGCCGCCGCGGAATGAATATGGAAGAAGAAAAAAAGAACTACGCGTAAAGTTACAACGGCAACCCAAAAACAAATAGCCACACGCGCAAAAAAATAAAGCGAGAGGAGGGGAGGGGCTGCGATCAGGCGGCGTGCGTGACCCCCCGAGCCCGGGCGAAACCATATGGCGATGACGTAGGTCGAGTTCGCGTGACGTCATTTACGCGGGAAAACGCCGGGATGGCGGGAAAGTGCAGCCACGTGGGTGGGGGAGCACGTGGGCGGATTGGGATCGGGGTGGGTGTTGGGGTGCACAGCATAACCAGAGGCGTACGCTTTGGTTATTTCGGTAAAGTCACGTAGCAATAAAATAAAACAAATCACGACGTTTCGATCGCAACACAAGCGGTCGAAACGTCGTGATTGAATTGAATTATTTTAATTTATTATTATTTTATTTTATTATAATTACTTTTTTATCTACATGACTTTACCGAAAAAACCTAAGAGTATGAATCCTTGCAGTCACGAAAGCTTCAAATTCGGGCTGCTATTGTTGCTCACGTTCAGCCGTGGCAGGGAGACGCGGCGTCTGGGTCCTCTTTGCTCACAGGAGGCTGACAATGAAGGGACTGCTGGCTGAGTGTTTCCTGCTCGGGACGTCGCTATGGAATCTTAACAGCCACCCTCCTAAATAAAGCACGTAGCACACTCGTGAATAACGCCGCACTAAAGAAAACGTGAGACAGGAGGCAACGGCTCGGCCCTTCGTTGTGTAAAGTAGGCCTTCATTGGCCCAATTATCATTTATAGGCCTTTACAGTCCTGAATAGTTGACTCAAGGTATCGTAAGGCTACATAATTTGGGACTACGAAACCTTTGACTCAATTTCGGACTTTTATTTGTAATTTCGGTTTTAAGTGACTAGCTTAACGTCCATTGGTTTATACACAATACAATAATTCAAATAATTGTATTGTTGGTCATTGGATTTTAACAATCGATTTTCGGTTTAATCCCAATGTTCGGATTAATCCAAAAATCGTGGAAATTTGTCACGTGTACAATGTTACCTAAATATGGTTTAACAAAGTCCTGTACTCTGAGAGAATATTTGGCCATTCCGATTCTCATGTTTGGATGAATGTAAAAAAGTCAATGCAACCTAGATATTAGTAAGTCCAGTTAATTGAGCCAATTCCAACCTATGTATTGCCATTAAGAGTGATTCCAGTTCGTGGAGCTGAGAACCCATTTAGAGAACAATTCATTGGAATGGTTGGCCCTGGTCAACGACACGACATCACTGCAATTCACAGGGTAAAACAATGCTGCCCGGGCTGAGAGTCACATTTCTACGCAATCCGCCAACCCTTCCCTCCGAAGCACTGGATCACAGGCGTGCTCAGTATGGATGGGACGTCGCATTTCACTGATTGTTGTGAATAATGCGTTTTAAACATCTAGGCAACTTTTGTCGACTTTTTAAGTATTAAGTACAGGTTTCTTGCCGGGTATCGCATACAGGACAGATGTCCCACATCTAACGCCATATGTGTGAATTCAAACCGCATATCTGAAATTTTGGGTCGACATAGGTTCGCGGCATATAAGCAAAATCGCACAAACTGAACCCGCATAAAGAAGGGGACTTGTATTTTTATGAATTCAAATCTTGTACTGGGAACTCTTTCGCTGATGGTCGACACAGGTTTTGTTTTCATGGCTGTGGCAATACTGCTCCTCTCAGATCCATATACAAATTACCACCACTCAGGAAATACGGAGGAATTGTGTTTTAAGAATTATGTGGAAAGCATTTATTAGCCGACATTCTAGACCAGGGGTCGGGAACCTTTTTGACTGGGAGAGCCATAAAAGCCAAATATTTCTAAATATATTTCATTGAGAGCCATATAGTATTTTTAACGTATAATAAATTAAATGTCTTACTTTTAATGCGACTTCTGGTGCTATATGGTTTTGCTGATGGCCTTGTAGTCAGGTTCATACGTGGTGAGGTTGAGCTTCATGCAGGCGTGACCCGTGAAATGTATCTTCAAAACTAATTTCTGTTTACTTTAAAATGACACAGTATTATTAAACAATATCACAAGTATTTTAAAATCAGTTCCAAACTGATTTTTTTATTTTTTTATTATTATTATTTTTTTCAACTCAAACTTGTCTGGGAGCCATATGCCGTCACTGGAAGAGCCATATATGGCTCGCGAGCCATAGGTTCCCGACCGCTGTTCTAGACGAAACCATGGGCAATGAATAACCCAGTACTCTGATTTGGCTATGCGAATTTGAACAAGTGGCAAATACATCCTGATCTCACATTGCAGCACTGTAATTTGTGACTCAAACCCAATACAGAGTAACCAAAGAAAACTAGAATTACAAATTATAGTACTGTAATTGATAATATAACCCGTTAATTTGAAATTAGTTATTGGCTGCATGGCTAATTACAAGTTACTACCACAACAACATCATTGTTGGCAACATGTTTAGTGCTGGCAGCACACGGCATAATTAAGATGCTTTGGAAGAGCATTCCCAAGTGTTATTGCAAACCTCTATACTCTTGACGAAGAATGTTGCCATTTTAATTCTCAAAATGTCTGCAGTCTCCATGTCACATGTTGTGGCCATTGAAAAACAAGGCAAGGTTTTTGTTACGCTCTATATAATGCATTCCTGTACAATTTAAATTGACGGAAGTGCAGAATATTTCTAAACATCCGACCTGGAAAGCCACCGAAATTTGGCCCGCAAACCCTGCCGAGTGCTGGCGAGTATTCAGTCGCGAGCTGCCTTTTTGCCTTCCCACACAAATACAGTGCCAGCCTCGTTTCCAGATGTTTCCTGTCTGGTAAGCCGCTTCCCCAACACTCTACATAGAATTCTTTTGATTCCTAGAAATGCATTCGATTTAACGGAAATGCCTAAAGGGTAAAACTGAGTGCGTACATTAATTATGTAATTACAATCATCTATATTGCAACAACAAAAACAGATCAATTACACTCCTTTATAAGGAAACATGCTCAGGTGATGTTACAGGCTATGACCCTGCCAGGCAGACTATACCAGTTGCAGACTGCACTCTACACCATGCAGAATGAAACGCATTTCATTTTAAACGTTTCCTGAATAACATAGTTTTTTATGCTTATGAATAGTTACCTATTAGTAGTTGTGGAGTAACAGACACAACCTTCAGTAATGAAAACTGAATAAACAATTTGGTATTCAAAGTAAAATTACTACACGTTACTAGCACATTGCATTTTGGGAAGAATAGTTTTTGTGATGTCAATGCATAATCCACTGAGTCTGCATGCCTGAGTGCTTCTATAAGTTCAATAATATCGATACTATAACTTGCCGACCCATCAATACGGGACATTTGTGAAAACTATCTGCAGATTACCCCTGCAGTCTAAATCAAGATGATGATTCTGAATAGGAAGAAACTAAGGGACTGCAGCTGCTCTACATCCCTGAACCTTGTACTAGGGGTAGAGTAATTGACGTGAGACATTTAAACAAAATGAGTTGTATATGCGAATGTCTTATTTAGCCCTTACTATCCAATTTTAATAAGAAAAACAATGTGAGGACGTACGCCATATATGAAACAAAAAATGAATGAGGTTTATCGAGAATTCAATAATACATCTACGTTTTAAGTGAAGGTGAGGTGTAGTTTCAGTGCTGTCAGAAGAACGGTAATCAATCTGAATACAAGGCAGCCTTCTGTCCTTTTGTAGCATGTTTGTTTGACTTCATGTTACACTATATAGTGTATACCATCCCATCCCTGCAAAGTACCAACATGCTCCCTTCCCATGCCTTCCGAGTGCGATCTTCACACACCTATCACCATACATGCATGCGGAGAGTAAAGTAACCAAAGGCTGCCTGCCACCTTCTCCACTGACCAAAGCCAGAAACAGTCAGTCGAGGTCTGTTCTTTTGGTTCTTTCGATAAAGTCACGTTGTGATTTGTTTTATTTTAATTTATTTCTACCCACGTGACTTTACCGAAAGTACCAAAGAGTATGGATTTCTGCAGCCACGAAAGCTTCAAATCAAGATCGAGGTCTGTTATTAAACGAACTACCTCGCCTGCAATAAGGAGGTCGTTGGTTTGATCCCGACTCTGACACCTGTATATTTTTGGAGTTTACGTGTCTCTCTCTCCCCGTGGTGGCGTGTATTTTTCTCTGGGTCTTCCGGTTTTTCTCTCCACATTTAGAATCAACACGTGTTTAGAGTATTTAGCTGCTATAAATATCCACGTGATAAGCCACTTCGTCGAGCTATCATTTGTGACCGTGTCGCTTCTGGAAAATACCTATAAAGCTCAATGGGATTTACTGGTCAAATTTTTAAAAAAAAGTTTCGTTTAAAACTGTGAGCATACTGTAATGCAGTTCAACACAATTACACCTGGTCTCAGTACACATCGATTAAATGCCGATCAAACATCGACACCAATTTCCGGACTGTTCAGGTAAAAACCGAATAGGTGGTAACCAAAGCGTAGTCGGGCGGGGATAAGGCAAAAATCTGTACCCAGCTATGGATTGGTACCTAATGTGCTTTTGGTTTCCTGCTTTTGCTCTTAAGCCTCAACAAGTGAGAACGAATCTTAAAGGCGTTCACTACATTGTACAGCATTTGCGATTCACTGCCCTCATGGAGGTTTTGAGAAGCTTGGCCTGAAAGCGAACAGCTATTATAAAAGCCATGTGTTCCGTTTGTCCGTCCGTTTTTCCGTCAACTAAAGTATTAGAGCATTTCAGAAGGCCCGAATCAAAAAGTTATAGAAAGTGGACCCTCCATTTCAGATGCGGGCGAAAAAGTTGATCCAACAGGTTTTAAAAAATTGTCGACCACCCCCAAAACAACATTTTCACTCCGCACTAAAAAAAAGGAATGTATTTTGTAGACATACGTGCCTACACACCCGACATGCAATCGAGTCCAGACTTCTTTTGTAGGCAGGAGCTAGAATAAGGCGGCCATGGACCGCCGAAATTCTCGTTGACTAAAAATTTTCGGATGTGGTAACATTGTACCATGGGGTGGCAGCATTGCATAAGACCTCAATTCACAACCAATAAGAATCTCATTCTCCCTTGTGAGCGCGC